GGAAGCAAGTTCGCTTCTTCCTAGACCTAGATGCCGCCAAGGTTTTCTGGGATGTCTCTAACCCAGCCAAACGCTTCTATATCGACGATATCAAAGAAATCCGGGTCGGTGCTGACGCTCGCAACTACCGAGAAGAACACCAGATTCCGGAAGATTTGGAGCCCCGGTGGTTTACTATTGTCATTGCGGATTCTGACCGCTCTAAGGGCCGAGCGGTCAAAACCTTGCACCTCATCGCTCCTAGTGACCGTATTCTTGACCTGTGGATTACTACCCTTGAGCATATCTCTAGGTACAGAATCGATCTCATGTCTGGTCTGGCAGGTTCGAGTCAAAGCGAAGCGGTCCTGCAGGCCCACTGGCAGCGTGAGATGTCAAGACTCTTCCCGCAGGGTCCTCCTCCTGTAGAGGAGCAAAGTCTTGACCTCGCCGCTGTTGAGAAGGTCTGCCGCAGCTTGCATATCAACTGTTCCAAAAACATGCTTCGGGCACAATTCACTAAGGCCGACGCTGCCCGTAACGGCAAGTTAGATTTTTCCGAATTCAAGGACTTCCTTTTGCGTTTGAAGGAACGAAAGGATATAAAAGATATCTTCAAGCTTCACACCGCCAAACCAGAAGAAGGTATGACTCGAGAAGAGTTTCTTGCTTTCCTTCGTGATGTGCAAAAAGAAGATATCGAATCCGATCGGGTCTACTGGGCTGCACTGTTTGACAAGTACGTTCGGCGGGCTTCTAAATCTCGCACTCCTTCTGCAGAAGGATCCGAGCTCCCTCCACCTATGTCACGGATGACCCTAGATGCATTCGCCGCCTTCTTGTCTTCCTCCAGCAGCGGTGTCTACGCTTCACGTCCTCCCCAATCAAGATTCGACCGGCCGCTGAACGAATACTTCATCTCAAGCTCTCACAACACTTATCTCCTAGGCCGCCAAGTGGCCGGTGCGTCAAGCACTGAGGCTTACGTCAGCGCGCTTCAGCAGGGATGTCGCTGTGTCGAGATTGACTGCTGGGATGGCGCAGATGGGCGCCCCATCGTGTCTCACGGGCGCACTCTAACCACCAGTGTCCTCTTTGCCGATTGCATCACCGTCATCAACCGATACGCCTTCATCACGTGTGACTTCCCTCTCATTCTTTCTCTTGAGGTGCACTGCAATCCGGAACAGCAACTGGCAATGGTCAAGATTATGAAGGAGACATTCAAAGAACGCCTTATCCTTGAGCCCTTGATGACCAACTGCCATATCCTTCCGTCGCCCGAAGAGCTCAAGGGTCGTATTCTGGTTAAAGTTAAGACTTGTGACGAGACCCAATTTGATCCCCGCCAGGATGCTACCGGTTCCGTCGGCACCCACGGCCGCAAACGCAGTGCTAGTACACCATTTGTGCGACCGACGCTCCCTGATACGAACGCCCTGCCTCTTCCCTCACTCTCGAGTCCCCCTACAATAGGTCCCGTCGACAGCATCAGCCCTTTGATCTCGGATAGGCGTTCGCTTACTGCTACGAGCATGAGCAGTGCAACCGAAGACAGTGACGGAGCCCTAGTTTCTGTGCACACTGATAAGAAGAAGAAGCGACGTCAGAAAAGCAAGATTACCAAGCCTCTCTCTGACTTGGGTGTCTACACTCGTGGCTACAAGTGGCACAGCTTCTCGTCCCCAGAAAGCAGACGGTATAACCATATTTACTCGTTTGCCGAACGGTCTTTCGAGAGCATCTGTCAGAGTCACGACAACAAGGTTGCACTTGAAGCACACAACCGCAAATACCTCACCCGGGTGTATCCTTCCGGATTCCGACTCCGTTCATCCAACTTTGATCCGAACAAGTTCTGGCGCCGTGGCGTGCAGATGGCAGCGCTCAACTGGCAAACTTACGATATCGGCATGCAAATGAACCAGGCTATGTTCGCCGCTGGGACTGATCGTACTGGCTACATCCTCAAGCCCGAGAGCCTTCGCTTCCCAGCTGTTGATGGAAATCAGAAGCGCAAGATGGAGCGCAAGCTGGTTCGATTCTCCGTTGACGTCATCTCCGCACAACAACTCCCCCGTCCTCGCACTATCGGACAGGACGACAGCATCAACCCTTATGTCGAGATCGAGATGTTCAGTGCTGATGATCGTGGTCAAAGCTTCGTCCTCGGCGAAGGCGGTATGGATGCCTCTGCACGCAACGGTATGTCCGGTATCGGATATCCGCACCGGCGCCGCACCAAGATCGAGCAAAGCAATGGCTACAGCCCTGTTTTCAATGACAAGTTCAAGCTTTCGCTGGAAACTAAATACCCCGATCTCGTGTTCGTGCGATGGACTGTCTGGAGCTCAATGGACGGTCGGAGTGCAGGCAATAACAACAGCGTGCAGCTGGCCACTTTCACCGCCAAGCTTACGAGTCTCTCACAAGGTTACCGCTACTTACCTCTATACGATGCCAGCGGCGACCAGTACTTGTTCTCCACGCTTTTCTGTAAGATCTCAAAGGAAGATCCCATCTCTGTTCAGCGTCTGGACCTCGAAGAGCTCCGCGCCGAACGCATGGGTATTCTGCGCCAAATCGGCCAGACCGTCTTCAAGCGCTCTTCATCAGCCGAGCGCGAAAGGGATCAGGCACAGGATCGCAGTGACCCCCCAAGCCCCGAGGATAAGGAAGCAGGCTCTCCCAACCTGACACCCACTCTGTCAACAACGTCAAACTCATCATTATCATTCATGCAATGAGAATGTCATCACATCTTATCTCACCCATCTCTACCACAATAGCTTTGCGCTGGTCTCTCCTCCCATCTCTCTCCCGATCTGGAATCTTGTTCCCATCAATGTCAGCATCAACCAATGTTCCGGCGTTTGTCTTTCTACTGCATCATATCCCGCTCTTTGCTCTCATCTGTGTCTACCTACATTGTCGGACGTTTTATTTATTGCACCATTGCCATCCATACCCGTCACAGCGATACCCCCCAAGTTGCTTCAAGTTTTCTTTTTGTCATTTACCATGGGTAATCATCTTGTTTATCATCCTTGTTCTGTTATTTGTCTGCGACAAATCCGGAAACTGATCATCCGGTTATGTATTTGACTGGGAGATGTGTGTGTTCTTGTTTCATCCCATCTTTTTCATCCCTGTTTTTCTTCTGTTTATTTGGTCCAATTTAGGTCTTTTCTTTTCATCTTATCTCTTTTGTCGCGCTATGTGTCCGCATAGGATCTTTCGGGAACTCGGTTCTGTCATTCATCATCATCGTCATCATCGCATTTGAGGGAGTCAATCACATCGGGGAATATATACGTGGCTGGTTCACTGGAGCGACTCTTCTCATTCATCATATCCTTCATCGTCATAGCATAGGGTCTTGGGGTTTTTTTTCATTTTCAGGAGGCTCTTACAGTTGATCTGTCAATTCAATCATACACTCTTGCACTCACATACCACTTTTGTTTTATCTCAACATAATATTCGCGCGGAATGTACTATCGACCTTTTTGCTTTTGCTTTGTTTTCACGCGTCCTTCGAGGAAATATTAATTATGAATGTTAATTTGAAATAACTTTTATGTACAACATAGGTATATCCCATAGAAAAGGTACATAGAATCAACGACTTGCATTGGACCGAGTTTTAATAAGACCCGTGCGGTCCGATACCCAGTGGGGTTGGTGGGCAACGCATAGGGCCGATCTCGGGAGTATGTTGTATTGGTTTTTCCTTTTCTCCGTTTCCCCATTGGTTTAATATCCAAAGGTGTCTGGTTTTACCTATTGATCCTGAAAGCATAAACCTAAGTCTTTCGAGGTATATGCTCTTATTTGATCCTGGTGAGCAAGCATGAGATGTATCTGTGGATGGAATGGCGTATACAAAGGGCTTTCGCAGTCCGTGATCTATTGCCATATATTATTATATATTATTATGTAGCCGATGGCTGCCGGATCTTTGAGGATGTTCTGTGGGGCAGGACTTGACGCGCTGCTGGTTGCAGTAATAAAAAATATATTGGCTTCGTTTTTCGGGCGGGCAATACAAAATCTAGGAATTTGTCCAATATATGAAAGAACACATAGTAAACAAGTATGATATCATACGTACTGCTTTGCATACCCAAGATGTGACGGCCATATAGCTTTTGGCCTCATTGATATTGGTACATCAAACTTGGAAGCTCCCTATGGGTGGTGCTGAGTAGGTAGATAGTCCAAGCACAGCCCAACCCAACACTTCCTGCCAAGAAGAGACATAGTATATGGAAGCCTAGGAAAGATGCAAGGTGGGTATTCCATTCACTCGGGTGGTACAACAAGGGAAGGAAAATACCAGTGGAAAGAAGTCCTATGAAGACATTAGGGTTGGATCTATGACCAACAGTCGATCCTCTGTGCATCAATTTGAAGTGATAAAAGGATGACAAGCCGAGTGTTTAAACACATGAACTCATACAACGGTGCATACACCTATGCCGCTCATGTAGGACCCCGTGGGTTTGGATACAGGGACTTTGGCAAAATAAGGTATATCCATGTGAACCTCATATAATCCCCGGGGGGTCAAGTATATACTCCGTAGGCACCCATTCAATAATGTATACTTGCTGTTAATCCAGCCCCCCCCCCCCTTCCCCCCCAATTTTTTATATATAAGGACCCAGTCAGATAATGCATACCCGCCTAGCTGTCCATGGAAGCCCAGGGGATGGCACAACATCATGTCCACGGATCAGTAGCATAGATCTAGATGACCATGCAGCGTAACACATTAGCTGTAATTCCAATGCCCAGAGTATTGTCAATTTCATTGCCATGATCTATAAAGTAGCCAAGAGTCCCACACATTATATACAGGGAATGACAGTGGGACGGTAGTAGAGTGTCGTGGTAGTGAGTCTTGAAACACGTGATCTATTTTATTACTCGATCACATCGAGTCAGCGCCAAGATTTGTCTCTTCTATCTCCAGCTTTTCTCCATATCAAAGCATAGATTACGCTTAACCAATCACAATGCCCGCTAATATTTACTATGTGGAGGCGAAGTGGATATCAAGGCTGGCGACCTTTGGACTTTGTGCCGATAACGTCGGGTTTCTTGAATTCTTACTTGAAGCCATTCGGTCATTGGCCGTGATAGGCCTATACCCAGTTCAAGAGCCGACTCAGGCCATGCAAGTGCTTCCACCGCGAATGCTTGGCCAGTGACCCACAGCCAACTACTTGCTTATCTTCGGGGAAACAAGGATGACACTGGATGATTTGCCTGATTTGCCTATTTGGCCTGTCCGAGAACTATTTCCCACGTGGGCGAGCTTATATCACACCGATATCCCCCGTCTCTGTATCTCCTATTCTTTATCTTCAGCTTCCCCACAATACCCTTTAAATACTTTGTTTTGACCCTTAAACCATTGGACCATATTGAAAAAAAAAACTACACAAGCCTTCACACCCACTAGCCAACATGTCTAAACTCAAATGGATCCTCAAGAAGGCAGCCGTAGAGGAGGACACAGGACTCAGCAATGGCGAGATGATGTTGACCAACAATGATTTACGTCCAGGTGAGAGACTATCCAGGCTTATAGGATCTCAGGTCCTCGCCTTATTTATCACCCTCGTGGTCAACAAAGAACACAAAGACTGATGCAAATCGCACCACAGTCGAACCGGAACAACGCCAATGGAAATGGATTAACTTCATTGCTTTCTGGATTGCAGATTCGTTGAACATTGTCAGTATCTCTCCGGATGATTATGAAAGGCTAGTGTGGCATCTAACACAAAACATAGAACACATGGATGATCTCCTCGTCAATGATTGTCGACGGTCTCTCCTGGTGGCAATCCTGGATCTGTGTCTGGGTTGGATATTTCGTGGCTGCAGCTTTCGTCTGTCTAGTTGGACGAATTGGTGCTGTCTATCATATTTCCTTCCCCGTCACAGCTCGTGCGTCATTCGGAATCTGGGGCTCTTTATGGCCCGTCCTCAACCGTGTGGTGATGGCTATCATTTGGTATGGTGTGCAGGGCTACATCGGAGGCCAGTGTGTGACTTTGATGATCGAGGCCATTTGGCCGAGCTACCGGAACCTTCCCAATGGCCTCCCCGCCAGTGCTGGCATCGATACCAAGGATTTCGTCAGCTTCTTCTTGTTCTGGTTGCTCTCGCTTCCAGCCTTGTGGTTCCCGGTCCACAAGATCCGTCACTTGTTCACCGTCAAGGCAGTGTATTCTCCTATTGCTGCCTTCGCTTTCTTCGGCTGGGCCATCTCCCGTGCCAACGGTCTCGGTCCGATTATTCACCAGTCCAACACCGTCCACGGAAGCGACTTTTCATGGGCAATGGTGAAAGGAATCATGTCGTGCATTGGAAACTTCGCCGCACTTATCATGAACAACCCCGATTTCTCACGATTTGCCAGAACACCTAAAGACGCCTTCTGGTCCCAGCTACTTACCATTCCCTTCGGATTTGGTGTCACCTCATTCATTGGAATCATCGTGTCTTCCTCCTCAGCAGTGATCTTCAACGACGGCTACACATGGAACCCCCTCGACCTCCTCGGAAAATTCCTCGATGGAGCCAGTTCCGGTCAGCGCTTCGGTATCTTCGTCATCGCCACCGGATTTGCCCTAGCTCAGCTTGGAACAAACATTGCCGCCAACTCTATCTCAGCAGGAACTGACTTGGCTGCCCTGCTTCCCCGATACATGACCGTCCGACGCGGCAGTTACCTCTGCGCCATCATCGGTCTAGCTATGTGCCCATGGCACCTTGTCTCAGGCTCAAACAACTTTACAACTTACCTCTCCGCCTACTCTCTCTTCCTCTCCGCCATCGCCGGTGTCATGGTCTGTGACTACTACATCGTCCGTAAGGGCTTCCTGAACATGAAGGCTCTCTACAGTGCCAGCAAGACAGACCCCTACTACTTCACTGGCGGTTTCTCCTGGCGCGCATATGCCGCTTACCTCTGCGGTATCCTGGTCAACATCGTTGGCTTCGCCGGTGCTGTTGGATGCGATGTCCCTATCGGTGCTCAATATGTCTACAACATTAACTATTTCACCGGTTTCGGTGTTTCCTCTATCGTGTACTTCTGTCTGACGTGGTTCTATCCCATTCCAGAGACAAGTGCTACCTGGAACGAGGTTGATGTCGATGCTGAGGATATCTCCGTTGCATACGGAAAGGATCCCACTGATTTGGAGGCTCATGGGTATGCTGATCCGAGGTCGGTTGATGGTGCACTTGGCTTGGACTACAGGAAGGGTATGAGCTCTTCGGACAGGAAGATTTGAGCAGCTTGGGTCTTTTTTTCATGGGTGGCGTTTTTTGGGGCGTTGATTTTTGCTGGTGCTTTTACTATTGAGCGGGATTGAATATGTAATTAACTGCCTACCTGTGATATTTTTATGATGAGATGACAATAGACCGCTTCCTGGGTTTATAGGCTTCCAGAAATGGGCCACCTGGAAGATTTACTTTTTTATGACGCTTCCACTTTCAGAGTCTACGATTTTACTAATAATAAATTCTAGCAGCCTCTATACCTGTGAGGCAATTAATTCTCTCATGTTTGCATCATTCAAGTAGCTATGGGAGATATCAATGTACTCTTTTACAATTCGACTGTTTTTGAATTATGTCTTTGTTCTCTTATGGAACCAAGTCTAAAACTACTGAAGATAGGTGTTGGAAGTGAGTGCCAGGACATGTTTTTAAATCATGTTTCCTAATTCAAAAGACGGGGAAAACTCAAGGAAACATCTCGTTTGGTGTTGATGGTTTGTTTGGTGAATACCTGTATACCAATTCTTGGGCCGAAGACAACCATTCATTGACGGCCTCTTGCCTTCTGTACAATGTATCGTACACACTTGGAAGCTCTTTAACGGCGCAGTGCGTCTCTGATGGGGGAGTCACCACGGCGGAAGGAGGCTAAGTACAGGTTAGCTCAGTCATACTTGGATCTTGGAGATAGGCTCGGGGAAAAGCGGATATTCGGTTCACTGCTGAGGGGCCTGCAGAGCTCGATGCTGAGAAGATTACAGCAAAAAGCATCTGCCCAAGCTCAAGGAAGCTTATCCCACAGTGACCGGGAGCTCCAACACCCAAAAGTCTCTCTAAAAGCCGAACCAAATGAAATATAGATATGAACATACCATCAGCCTCTTCCCAAGCACGTCCGGCACCGAAGCCGAGACCAACCCACGCGGGCCAAGCTCTCCGCTTGAAGAGGAGAACGGAGAAGACAACACCGAAAGACAGACCGAGGGAGGACTTGATGATCACGGAGGAGATGGCGCGATCCCACTAGTTGAAGGTTAGCCACGGGTTCTCCCATGTTTGCTTCTAAACTGAGGCAATCGCCATATATATCAATAGTATTATTGTATATTGCGACACCTCTCATTCGAAGAACTCAGCTAGCTCATACCTTCTCGTTAAGCAAAGCCTCGCTGACGGGCTTGGTGGCGCGCGCGATCGGCCCGGATTCACTGGATTCAGCCATTGCGATAAATCTGTCGCAGAAGTAAGTACCAATTGAGCTGGAGCTAGATCCAAGGGCAAAACACGAACCAGTTGCAATGATGTGGAATTATAGAGGTAAAATAGAGGCGTGTGGAGTGCAAGGAGTTTGGGAGGTTCAGCGGACCGAGTCGATTCAGCCAAAGGCGGTCGGAGCAATCCGCGGTTTTTCTTGGTCTCTCTTTTTTTTTCTTCCTCGACAAGTAACCACCCACTCTCTCGAATAATTTGCTTTTTTCGAGATGCCGTCGATTGCGGAGGTAAGTCGAATGCTATATTGAAATCCTGTGTGTCTTTTTCCGGAAATCTAATGTGTTACCGCATCCACAGCGTCCGCGCTCATCGCAAGAGGCGCTACTCCGCCTCGAGAAGGGCACCGCCAGTCCGACAACCCAGATTCACGAAGCGGCACAGATTATCGGTGTGGATTTGACACTATGTGAAAGTCACCCGGAAGTTCACCGAGATTTTCAGATCCAAACAAACGCTACCCCGAAGGAGGAATGGGTTTTGCGATGGCTGTTGAAAAGACTGAGAAGTGGGAAGAACTATAGAGTGGACGCGGCTTCGTTCCTTTTATTACGCCAGCTCATCGACCTGATTTCGCCTAAGAACCTCGCTGCTATTCTGAAAGATCAGAAATTCCTATCTATTCTATGTGACACGTTCGAAGATTTGGAGGCCGATATCTTTTCTGGTCTGGGGAACGCGCTTGCAGCCCTCAGCTCTGACTCTGAGTCTAGTCACACACTGTCTGGATCCCCGACACCTGATGATCGCCGAGGAACCCAAGGGAAAAAACGCAAAAGAATGACAACTGAAAATGACGCAGACGCCATGGACGTGGACACGGACGAGCAGCGTCAGAACCCCGCAGCATGCTTCCTCACCTTCATCCGCGCCTTGGATTGTCTACACGGATTTGTGACACTTACACACCGCACAACAGGCACTGATGGCGTAGCAAACTCTCATTTGAAGCTTGCGCTGAGGGGCGAGCCCGAGGCTATCTCTATGCTCCTGGGCCGAGCATTCCGGGTAGCTGCAGTAGCGGCCAAGCAGTTCTCGCATGAGGGGAAAACAACCGATCTTCAGCACTTGCTGTACGTGTTCCCCTCAATCGTGGAACTGTGGGAATCGAGGTCTTACCGTGAAGATGATATGGACAACAAGTCCAGCAATGAATTTTTCGCTAGACATTGCTTCGCTCATGCGCTTAGGCTCCAGATCTGCCTGCGGTCTGCCAAACTCGACACCGACGAGCGAGCCACTCTCCTGCATGCGATTGAGCGCATTATTGCCCTTCATGTCTTGCTCCCCGCTCGTGCAGCATTCTTCGAGCGTGGAAGCTCTGGCATCGATTATTCCCAGGATGAGCCCGATTGGAGCTCGGTCAAACCAGTGACTGATACTTTCAGGCCGATCATTCGCGAGTTTGCTGTAGCCAAGGAAAACAAAGCAAGCAATGAAGCTTGCATGCATCCTTGGCGATCAGTGGAGCTTCTCCCTGAGCTTTTTGACAACGCCGTGCGTGCTGTTCCTAGGGATGTGTTCCGGAGGCAGACACACGAAGCTCCGTGGTTGGAGACTTTGTTCGTCGCTGTTGCAGAGCTAGCGTTCTCTACTGCAAAGGAGGAAGATTTCGCCACCTTTTCTTCCAAATTTATCTCGGTATTGGAGCAACTGCTTCAGGTAGCTCTCGACCGAAAGGTCGGTCTTTCTCTTCACACCATTCTAGCACATGCCAATTACACTGGTCTTTTCGAACAAGGCCTCGAGAAGGTCCAGTGGAATGTGACGGCTCTGTTTATCAGTCTTGGGGTTGATATTTTCCTGCCGAACTCCGGTTTGCGTGATTCGCGTAAGCTGCTTGATGCATTGCTCGACAAGATTCTATTACAGTGGCGCGAAACTGGTTCTCGGAAGCGGAAGGACTACGATATAATCAAGAATAAGGTTGTGCTGCCGTTGTTGCGAGGTTTCACTGCCGCAAGAGACCTGCCCACCTTCATGGAGATCTGGCACAACCAACTCGTTATTGTGGAGGAGGCTCGCCAGGATAACAGCAATTTGAGTCTATTCTCTGTTTGGGAAGACGATGAGTTGGCCGATGCTTACTCGGAGCTGATGCGAACCGCCCTCACCGAGGCGCATATTGCTGCCCAGATGCGTACCGCTGCTAGCGAGACGCGAGCTGAAAACGGCAAGTTTGCTGAAACTCCTCTGTCTTATGCCAAATTTGTTATCGTTGAGGCAAGCTTCCGTGGCCGGGTCTCGATGTTCCCAGAATCGGAAACGATCTTGACTTCTCTTCTGGAAACCATCACCTCTACTCTGTCGTCAAAGCAGGCTCTGCACTGGCGATGGCGTCTGTGGCGGTTGGTTCGAAATTTCCTAGAGAATAGCCTACAGTCAGCCGATAATGCCATGGCGAGTGCAATCATGCCATTGGTAGAAGTCGCCGCCAAGACTGTTCACCGTAACCACAAGGACCTTACCAAGGCTCAACTCGCTCCTCTCGAATCGTGGGAGGCTTACCGATTTGCAATTGTTGCAACCAAGGCACACGCTAGTGATGATCAGCTTGGCTCATTCGTTAAGGCCACCAAGGACGCCATAGAGCTCATTACCACTATCTCAACGAAGGACGCCAAAAAGTCGATTAAGGCACCCTGGAATGGCCGCACAGATACCGTGGATTCCAAAACAACCCTTGGCCTAGCTTACTTCCTGGCCCTTGTCAGAGTTCCCGAAGTCTGGGCTCTCATCTCCTCTGAGGATCGATCCCGTCTGTTCCGTCACATCCTGTCCCTAGCAGCCGCTCAATACCAATCGTCGTCGTTGCCCTTGGAGGCTGTTGCAGAAGAAGCAAAGTTCCTCCAGGCGTGGGCGAGCGTGGTCTGCCACGAATATATGCTCAACGCTCCCTTCATTGTCTCTGATCTTTCCCTCCTCCTCAACGAGAGCATCGAGCAAGACTCCTCCAATCGCAAACTGCTTATCGAGAGCTTGCAGAGGGTTCCGGCTCCGTTGATCACTCGGGGGCTGAGGACCACCATTCTGAACAAGTTGCAAAATGTTCTACTTCAACAGGATAGTTCTCCCGAAGTCACGATTGGAATGATCACGATGATGGCGAAATTGGCTGCCATGCCCAAATGTGATGCTACACTGACCAGCGACTGGGAGCCTATCTGGACTGCTGCTCGAGCTGTACCATTGAAAGGTACCGACCTCGACCTCCAGATCATGAAAGCCTTCCGAAGCCTTCACCGCGCAGTATCGGCCAAGCTCCTGGTTTTGTCTGATGATGACCGGAACAAGATGTTCAAGAAACTCTTTGCCCGGGCTTCGAAGCAAACCGCCAAAATGAAGCAGGTGGATCGGGATTCCATGGCCTGTTTCCTTTTGAGGTTGACCTTGTCAGAGCTCTGGGTTCACCGCAAGCAGCTACAGACAGCCTTCTCGGAGAAGGAACTTGCTGATTGTCGCGAGAAAGTGTTCGACTTCGTGTTGGCTGACATGAAACATGTCAAAGACCAGTGCAGGAAGCAGAAGTTGGAGGAGACAATCACCCTTATCAAGACCATCGATGCTCTAGAGGATTTCGAAGATCTAGCCACCGACAACGTCGAAGTGGAGAAGTTCCTATCCAATATTGACAATTACATGGATATGACCGTTGACTCGGAACCATCCCGATTAATCCGACGCCGTCTCCTTGCCACCAAGGGACCCGAGGAGAACATCGCTCAGCCAGTCCTTCAATGCGCCGAGACTCTTGCCCTCCAGTCTCTCTATGCCGAGGACCAGCAGCTCTTCATCCGGACCACCACCGAACGCTTCCACTCCATGACCGTGGAAAAGATCACCCAAACGATTTGCGAAGTCCGCGGACTTGGCCTGACTGGCGAAAATGCTGGCTACAGACTCCTTGTGCTCTACCTCGCCGTTTCCACACTCCCTCCCATCGAAGACAAAGAGAGCGCGACAGCACGCGAGATCTCCCTCCTCTGCACCTCCCTCTCCGAAGCCATCATCCAAAGCACCAGCATCGACCAATTCTGCTTCGCGTCCGAATGCCTGGATCTCCTCCTCCGCAACCACACCCGCAGCCTCACGCAATGCAACATCGACGGCATCCTCAGCGCGATCGCCAGTGCCTCCTCCAAAATCGGCCCCCAGATCTCCCCAGCCTACGCACCAACCATCTACACCCGTCTGTGCCGACTGATGGGCGTCGTCCTCAGCCTGCAACGTCTGAAGATCGGCGGCCGCTTCCATCTAGTGGTAAACGCCATGCAGCGTCTACTAGGCTGTCTCTTCGCGCGCTCCCGAAAACGCGGCCGCTCCCGCTTCCACCCTACCCTCTCGCAGCCATTCTGGCTCGCCCCGCTCGACGCATCACACGCTACATACTACACCCGTCTGCTCACCTCGCTGTGTGACCCTACTGTCTCGGCGGTCCTCCGTCCCCAGCCTGGTGCATCCCGTGAGGCCCTGACTGATCAGACGAAGAAGGCGAAGCGTATTGCAGGCCAGTACTTGCAGTATGTTATTATGGAGTATGCGCAGTGCTCGCTGCGTGGATCGTTGTCCCCCGAGGTCAAGGCTGCTATTTTGCCCGGCTTGTATGCGGCTTTGGATGTCACGTCGCGTGAGTCCATGCGTGCGCTCAATGCTGCGCTGGATGTCTCTGGTCGTGCGGTGTTCAAGTCGCTCTATGATGACTATGTGAAGTTTGGAAAGTGGAATAAGGGTTGATTGAGGTTTTGTGGGTAACTGTCCTTTCTTTGTATACTATCTTTTTTGCTTAAGAATCATGATATCCCCCAATGCATTGATGATCATCATATTTATTTCAAGTAAGATTGTTGGAAAATACGAATATTCTCGTGTCCACGTTTGTTAGGGTTTCTAGGGTAAGCAAAAGCGGCCCCGGGGGACCCAGGTGTCATCTACGCCAATGATTGCCCTGTCTAGTTCCTGGTATTGATTACGAGTAAAGCAATGTGCATAAAACACTAGGAAAGGCAATAAGAAAGAAAATAGAATAGTGGGAACAACTTCACTCAATCAATTACATTCAAACAGGCAATCTATCTATTACTGTGGCCGTCTAGAGCAGAGATTCTAGATAGGGTATCATAGGAGATCATAAATCATGCAAGATCAAAGCGCGGGGAAACATGAAAGGGGAAAAAAAGGAAAAGAATAAATCATCATGGGGTGGATCATCTAGATCATGGAAGTCTCCAAAGTGCGTGGACTGAGGCAGGACACAGACACATTGTCTAGTACCGGGATGCGGGAAGTCTGAGATGTAGTGAAATGTGTGTGGGGAACATGGCGTGAAGATTGAGGATGATTATCTGCTGTGTTAGCAACTGGGTGCTCAGGGATAGGCACATCCAGAGAGAAACCGTTGTGACCGCTGTGTGTAAGACAGCCGACACAGCTGCAGTCGCTGCCGCATTGGCAGCTGCCTGTCATGTCGGAACAGGCACTTGGTAGCCCGACTGGGTATTCCAGTGTGTAGTACTCCGAAGGATGCATCAATTGCTGGTTCAGCTGATGGTTTGCTGACAGAGGGGAGGAGTAACCGCTGGGTAGGGTGGAATTTGGGTCGGAGTAGCTATCAAATGGAATCGGCTGGAAGCCATGGTCCATTGAAGGAGGATTTGGCATGAAGTAAGGGAACGGGGTCGGAGTTGTTCCTCCCTGGTAAGGTGAGGCTTGATAGGGGTTGATGATTTCCTGGTTCTTGTCATCGCCGTTGAAGGTGATCATAGCACCCATCTCCTGGACATGTTTCCGTGTTGTGGTATTGAATGGATGAGCAGCACAGCCAAGACACTGGCAGTCTTCTCCACAGCTACAGTCGTGACAAGAGTCACCGCCTAGTGGGGCATTGTAAGAAGGCTCGAGGTTGTTGAGTATGTATGGAGCCATAGAGGGGTCCGTGATTCCAAGACCGTTCATCGGGTTAGAGTACGCCATAGACGGCGGCGAAGTCACACCGAGTGACATCCCCATTTGGGACATTTGAGGCTGAGAATGTGGCAGCATCATTCCCATGTATCCATTCTGAAGGCTTGAGTGATGTGGGTGTGATTGGTGTATGGCGGAATGCATGTAGTTTCTATGCGTGGGAATTGAGGAATCCTGCCATGGGGGCAGTTGGGGCATGGGAAAGTGCATGTAAGTCTGATCATCCCATGCAATAGGTTGTTGGAATTGCTGCTGGTCGGCCTCTGAGTACACAACTTGATTTGTCGTGGAAGGACGAGATACCCCGCAGCAAGATCCACCATTCTGAGCCGGAGCAGCAGCCGCAATAGGAGCTGGAGTCGGGGTGGGTGTTTTCGGTTTTTTGTTTTGAGAGCAGCAGCTTGATACTTGGGGAGACTTCGAGTCTTGCCTGGTAGGTTCTGTGGGCGATGGCGTCTTCTGGTTTTGTGTAGACGTAGTGGGAGATATGTGTGAGCTATCTAACCCGAGCTGCGAAGAGAAGTCTGAAACCAAGTTCGGCGTTCCATCTTCAAGCTTCACCTTGTCTGGCATATTTTCTAATGCGCGTGCTATGTTTTCAGGTGCTGCTTGCATAGTGCTCTGTCTTCTTCCGGACTTCTGGACCTTGCCCGGAGCTGGTGACGATGAGGAAACCATGGAAGATGGGGGAGACTGGGTTGACTCATTGGCATCCATGGGAACTTTATAGAGCGGACGACATAAGCATGATGAGCCTACAGCAAGTCAGTATAACATAAACAAATGGTAGTTTGGTGACAAAGACATCTGTACCTTTTGGAATGCGGACCATCACGGCATACGTCTTCTGGCAGCTGCAAGTTCCTTTCGGATGGGGACATTTTGCAAGAGGACGTCCGGCTTTAGGAACCTTCATCATAAGTCTATCGAAGTGTTGGCATTTTGAAGATCGATGACCTCGAATGCATGGTTCACTGGTGTTACTCTTTAGCCCGGTTTCATTGACAATACACGATATACTCCTACCAGGACCACTTGGCACCTTCTTCATCGAGAGGCATGTTGATCAAGAGAGATATGTATGTTTGCGCCGGAGTTAAGGTGAGATGCAAGATTGATTCGTAATGTCGCAAATGTGTGTCGCAGAACCCCAACCGTTAGATACCCCGCGCATGCGCCCGTTTCCGCTAGGACCGTCAGATGCCTCGTAATTTGTAACGAACTAAGCCATATGTATGCCCATATTCTCAAAATGTCGTTCGAGTGAGCAGATCAGATCGAAAGGTGGAGTCGAGACGGAGCGAAGTGGAGGTTTCGGTTTCTTCAATGTTGAAGCGGGAGAGACCGGGCTGATGTGATCGCAACACACCACGATATATGAAATAAGCACTTAAGATACCGAATGCATGTAATCCGAATAGCCCCTCGATCACAGCAAGTTCAGGTTATTCCCTCAAGTCAAAGACGGGAAAAAAGGGTGCGGGGAGGTACGGTACCTGGCCATTATTAGGTAAGGAAATACCTTCCTGTTCGGGCTTGGCGCGTCGGAATTGTTTCGATGACGGCACTTTTTGGACACTTTTGGACTTTGGCGACATTTGGCGACATTTGGACTTCAACCCACCATAATGCCTCCCAAAGGCCCCGATAGTCCTCCAGAAGAGTCCAATGCCAGTCCTTTCTTTACAATCCCTGCTCCTATGAAGCGGCTCTTCGACAAGTTCCCGTTGACTACCTATCCCGCCAACGAGATCCCTCAACGCATCCGACCGCACGACAATGTCAACCAGCTGTATGTGTTCGCCGACGCATCTGGTGCACGACATGGCCGACCCTCCTTCAATCCTCAATGTCTCAAATGGCAGGTTCGTGCCATCTATACTCGCAAAGTCGCATGCAAGGACGCGTGTAGCCGTCCCTGTCGGAACCATATGTACTGATCGGCCTCGCTCTAGGCATACTTAAAATTCGTTGGGATTGACTTCGAGATCACCTCGTCCAGTAACCATGCATCGCCAACTGGTTCCCTTCCTTTCCTCCTACCCTCACTGCCTGCAGACAGCTCGAATCCGATCCCTTCACACAAAATCCAAAAGTGGGCTATTGAACAAGTTCACTGCGAGGAAGAACAACAATTGAACCTGCGGTTCGAGGTTTATGCTTCACTTTTAGACAACCGGATACGCAGCGCTTGGGTAGGCCACTGATTTCATCCGAAACAAACCCTAGACTCGAAGGAGCTAACCGACGTGTCCAGTTATACATGCTTTACCTAGACAGTGAGAACTTCGACGCTGTCGCACGCCGACTCTATGTGAACCCCACAACCTCGAACTCGATCGTGCGCGCCACTCTATGCCACCAACTCCAGCAGGCCGCCCGCGATGAGCTCCTCAAGACCTCGCGCTACATCGACGCAGCTGATTTGGAAGGCGATGCGGGTGGCGCATTCGAAGCGCTGTCAACCTTGCTTGGCGAGGACGAGCACTTCTTTGGCCGGCCAAACCCAGGTCTATTTGATGCCAGCGTCTTCGCATACACGCAACTCATCCTGGACGATACCCTGGGCTGGAAACGGAACCGGCTGGGACAACTGCTCAGAGAGCATCCCAATCTTGTACAACACCGCGAAAGACTACTGAAATTCTTCTAAATGTATAACAGCAAACAAACTATGGCGTTGGATTTGGACTCATCATTTCGATAGAATAATATCTCTCCTGATTGGCCTCTCCATCTCAACCCTTAACAAAACAAACCCCAAACCAAACCCTAACCCCAACCCACTTCTTCGCCCTCGCCCCCAAAACATCCCCCAACTCCCCATCAACCCCCCTAACAATGACCCCATCCGCACCCGCGCCAACAACGTCTTCAACCTCAAATCCAGCCCCTCTAGCTGCAGCCAAAACATCAGGAATATCATGACAATAACTCGTAGGCCGAACCTTCACCCCCCTCTCATCCGTAAACCCAGCCTGACTCCGCATGCCCATCTCAGCATGCATATTCGTCACAAGCAAATATGCACCAGACCTCATAATCTCCGCGGCAGCGGCGAAAAACTGCTCAAGCGGAATATGTTCCAGCACCAACGTAGATATCACACCCACAGCACCCGTCTCGTATAATCCAGACGGAAGCTGCGTCTTTGATACCTCAGGTTGAAGGAGATCAAGGATACCTAGCTCAATTTCCGGGATCTGCGTTGCGCTTTTCGCCGCATACTCGCGTGTCGCCGTTCGCGCTACATCTAACATCCCGCGCGACGCATCCAGTCCAATTACAGAGAAGGAACTGGCTTTGTTGGCTGTGCTTAGTGCGGAGAGGAGCTGGATTGTGTTGCGGCCGGTACCGCAGCCTAGATCTACTAGGGTGGGGCGGGTTGTCTTGGTCTTGATCTCTGACTCTGACTCTGACTCTGGTTGGAAGCGTTTGCTTACCCGGTCAATGAATCGGGGTAGTAGAGAGCGCATCTCGATTGTGTCGAGGCGTTGGAGGAAATTTCCGTCTGTGTCGTAGACCTGTTTTATGTTAGTTGTGGTTAAGGGCGTATAGTTTGAATGGTTATGTGAACGCTATATGTACACACCTCGGCCCATTTATCGTATGCTTCTACCGTGTCCACATACTGTGTTTTCTGTGAATTTTCGGGAGGCTTTGTGGCCAGCAATTCTTGGATTGTGCCCATTTTGGATGTCATGGTGATTGTATTTTTCGGGGATATTGGTGCGGATATATATATCTTTTTTCACGCTAATGCTTGACGTTTCTCCACTCGAACATGGGGTACACAGTAGAGCCCGTGCTTTATACACCGAGTCATAAATGAACAGTGACTCATTTATACAAATAGAAATTTAGATAAAGGGAGATATGAAAAATTACAGCGAGTAACCGAGAAGCCCCAAAACCGAGGCTAAGAAGCCTACGCCTACGCTAAGTACTAGCGTGAAGAAGAAATGTTGATCATCAGGAGTGTATGACAGTTTAGTCTAGTCACAGAGAAGAATCGTACACATTCATGTCGCCATTAAAGAGACACAAGCAAAACGATAAGGAAACGAAGCCCGGGGAGAGAGCACACGAGAGAGGTCGACAAAGGTTCAGGATTGGAGTTAAAAAATAAAGAGAGCATAAAAGACAGGCCAAAGGAGGGCAAGCCATCAGTCCAGGAAATCACATAATTGCCGTGCCGGACGGAACATAAGTCAAACGCTCGTGAACGAGGAAAAGAGGTAAGGAGAAGGGAAGATGGAAAAAGGTTCGAGAGAGAATAAGAAAGTAAAAAACACCAAATCATCGCAGCGGACATCGCGCATATTTGGTCATCAAGTAGTGAGTGAGTCAATCATTGCCAGTCAAGTCATTTAGTAAACCGTCGCTCCGAACGGAGCTGTCTCCTTCAGGTCCTCCACGAGGTCCTCTACATTATTGAGATATCTTCCCAGAAGAGCCTGCTTCTCGTCCGTCGTGCGCGTATCGCGGTTCGTTTTACTCGCAGCATTTGCCGCGGCGGAGTGCGCACTGCGCGAGAATGGAACATTGGATAGTTTGCTGGGGCTGCGCGGCAGACCTGGCGGGGAAGACATTGGTGCCGGGGTCACGGTCTCGGGCATCAGATAGAAGTAGAGGAATTCGACGAGCTTCAGCTTGACTTCGCGGGAGGTTGCGCGCTGCTTGAAGAGTGATGTGACGGTGAGGAGGCCATCTAGGTCCTCGAATGTGCGTGTGTTTGATGGACAGTCTAGTAGGGCTGTGACGAGTGTGAGGAGGGTTGCTGATTGCACGGCAGGACAGTTGATCGGGTCGAGAAGGTCGAGGAGGAGGTTCATATAGATCTCGCGAGCGAAGAGGGTGCGTGAGCCGCGGTGGAGAAGGAGGGAGCCTTGGATTAGATCCAGTGTGCAGACAATCAGCATGTCGTTTGTGCCGTTGCTTCCCCGGCCGAGAAGGTGTTCGAGACATGATACTAAGCGCATGGCGACTGAAGCATATTGTTAGCGCCTAGACTCTCTGATGTTGAAATTTCCAAGACATACTGTTCCATTGAAAGCTTTCCTGCAGCTTGGAAAATTCTCGAAATGCCGGATCATCTCGCAAGTCTGACAAGGTCTTTGACACGGGCTGGATATCGGGGGAGCGCGATCTCCGATCCGAGACGGGCTTAGGTTTTGATAAACATATCTGTGCTAGTAGTCCTTCGACCTGGCGTAATCCTTTACGGATCTTGCTGGGCTCATATGAGGAGAGGTAATCGAACGAATGGGCTAATAGAGCCTCCATTGATGAATCAGATTGAAAAGTGAGCTGTTCATCCAAAAAAGAAAATGGACATTCTTAAACAAAAGATCAAAAGAGAAAGTGGAGAAGAGGTCTTAGGGTGGATGAGGTCAGTCGCTCTTCCAAGGTTTGGCAGTAAATAAAGGGCCGTTGCCCCGGACAACTGGTCAATAACCAGGGAACTCATCACATTGCGGAAACTTCCACGGCGCTTAGTTCTTTAGATCGACCCCTGGCGTCAATCAGTTTCGACTTTAATGTTAATTATAGTATATGGAGTAACCCGGCTTTCTGATAGAATATATATACTTATGAACATTGTGTGTTGACTTTATACCTTACTTCGTTGCTATAGTGAACATTATTATATTAGAATTATAACGAATGCATTTATCCCTACGGAGTACAGAGTGCATGACTGCTGCTTATGACCTATCAAATTATCATGCTATCCCATTTGTTAATGAAGTTGACATATCTCATTTGCTAACGCTCTTTAGCCCTGCACCTAGGCACCTGACAGCTGCCAGATTAGTCATGGACCTCGGCATCCGCCCGTCTAGCCCCGGGGGCATCATATGTACCTTCAGAGCTAGTAGGTAGAGCTATGTCCGCATGCATATATACATCTTGCACAAAGATTTTACAATATATTACAACATCATTGAAACATACGAAGATATATTGTAAACGTGCTGTTGATACCATCTATACACACCGCATAACTCTCGGACTTATAAGTAACCTTGCCCCGGAGGTCCTCACATATTTCTGCCGCCTTACCCCAAACCCCTCCATCTCCCCATCTACAACCATGAACTCAACAACTTTCCAACCACCCAATCTCGCTCCTCCTCGGACAAGCCCGGCAAATGCAACAAATGGTAGTGGAAGCCCCTCCCACCGACACCTGTCGGCGACGGATGAAGAGCGGACGACAACTGGACATCGTCGTAACAAGTCTAGCGTGGACGGCACCAAGTACAAGGATGGAACATGGTCACCCAAGAACGACAAGATCCTCATGGGTCCATATGACTACGTACACGAGCAGCCAGGGAAAGACATACGGCGACAACTGATCCACGCCTTCAACTCCTGGCTGCAGGTTCCGCCGACGAGCCTAGCAATCATCACCAAGGTCGTAACGATGCTGCATACATCATCGCTGTTGTGAGTTTGAGGCCCTACCCCGCATTCCAATCTGGTCACATTCAGATACTAACCACGTGGGCTCTAGAATCGATGACGTCGAAGATAACTCCGTCCTCCGCCGCGGCAACCCCGTCGCACACAACATATTCGGAACAGCGCAGACAATCAACTCCGCAAACTATGTGTACTTCCTCGCGCTGCAAGAAGTACAACAGCTCAACAACCCGACCGCGATTAACATATACGTACAAGAGATGCTGAACCTGCACCGGGGCCAGGGGATGGATCTCTTCTGGCGCGACTCGCTGACCTGCCCGACGGAAGACGAGTACCTAGAAATGGTCGGTAATAAAACAGGTGGGCTGTTCCGTCTCGCAGTAAAACTCATGCAGGCGGAGAGTACAACGGGCAAGGACTGTGTTGCCTTGGTCAATGTCATGGGCCTGATTTTCCAGATCTGCGACGATTACCTCAACCTCGCGAATACGGTGTACACGGAGAACAAGGGATTCTGCGAGGATCTCACCGAAGGGAAATTCTCCTTCCCGATTATTCATAGCATTCGCTCAGACCCGTCCAACCTGGTGCTCATCAATATCCTTAAGCAAAATACCAAGGATGTGGAGGTTAAACGATATGCGGTGCAGTATATGAAGAGTACGGGGAGCTTTGCGCATACAAGTCGAGTTGTTGGGGATCTGCGAGATCAGGCGTTGGGGTTGATTGAGACGATTGATGCCACGCCGAATATCAATGGGGCTGGTGATGGGCAGATGGTGCGTGCTATTGTGGAAAAGATTGTGGAGTCGACGTTGTCGGATCCCAATACTCACTAGTTGGTTCTTTGTCCTTTTTTACCGAAATGTTTCGATATGATTTTGTGAAGGTCGTGTCTTTGTTGGATATACCCAGTTCCAGTTATCTTGTTTTCATGAAATTGGCTATGTAGCTATGAACGTTCACGATGATATGGTTTATATTTATATGGTTCCTGGAGTACTAAATGTTAACAGGGTTATACACAACAGTTTGAAAGTAAACGTAGTTGAATTAGGAACAATGTTTATGTTCATGTAAGGGTATAATCACATCCCTGCCATCATAAGTCGTGTCGAGGCTGAGCCTAGGCTCGTCTTTATGTAGATAGTAGATGATCTTGAAACGAAAACGAGAAGCCAAAAGCACAAAATATCACATGCACCAACATCAAACAGCCAACATCTGTCCACAAACGCAGCTATGCATCTATGTATATGTCCAAAACACGAAAAATCCAAGTTCACATAACCACACAGCAAGCCTTCTCGAGCTTGCGCAGAATCTTGGGCAGAACCTTCTTGGCAAGCTCCTCGAGCTCGTCGGGTTGTTGCTGTCCTTGTTGCTGCTGGTGCCCTTGCTGGTGTCCCTGCTGGTACCCCTGTTGGTGACCAGAGTACCCAGACGAGCCCTGGTGACCGTTGTATGAAGGCATGACAGCCTCACCACCAGTCAGGTTCACGTAGATGCGACCGGCGTTATCCTCGGTGGCATACTGCAGTCCCAACTCACGACACACCTGCTCGACGCGCGGCTTGAGTTTCTGAACATGGTTCGCGGAGTGGTTTCCTTTTCCGACGATACTACATCGCGAAGCGGTATTAGTCGGGTTTGGTCTAGTGCACAGGATTCTGGTTCTCCCTGGAGTTTTGTTCTGCTGGCCACTTACACATGGAGGTGGTCCTGCCCATGCGACTTGGCGTACTTGATCCGCTCTTCCAGGATCTCCTCGGCTTCCTCGACGAACTGTCCGTGCAGATCAATGGTATCGGCCTCGACGCGCCCGTCGGCGTTGTTCTCGCGGAAAATAAACTCAGACGCTTGTCTGTTATACTCCTCCATCTTTCGGCCGTGGGCCTTTCCTTCCTCGGAGAGTTGCTTGGCGCCGGCGCCATCGCCGCTCGCGTAGGCTTCCTTCGACTGGCGGGAGTGTCAGCGCGGATGAAACGATTGTCACTACAATTGCGATTTCTATTGTAATCGAGCGATTTTAATTGGAATTGGGTGGTCGCATACCCGACCGAAACATTGCCCGCGCTTGGAGGCTTCCTGGCGCGCGAGGTCGCGGAGTCGATCGTACTCTGCCTCGGCATCGCTGCTGTTGTCGTGGTTGAAGGCTGGTACTGTTAGCGCTTGTAATTGTATTTAACTATTGACGCATTGCGTACCCCGAGGGCCCATATGGGACATTTCGTACGACATGTTTGTGATGATAAGAAGGGCCACCGCCCAGGGGAAAGGGAAGTGTACCTTTTAAGGGTGGGGACACCCCGAAAAATCAGATCGATCAATTTCCGTGGGTCTTCCAATGTTAGTTCCAGGGTTCCCACGATCGATGGAACCAAGATTTCCGCCCCATTGGGATTCATATTATGGTTATTAGAACCGACATCGTATAGATCCTGTTGAAGATACTAATATAGTCTATTATTATACCACCTGGGCAGTTATAAATCTATGATTATATTGGCCTAGATGGGCGTGGATAGACTCTTTGAAAACCTTGGGCATGATCTACGCAGTAGTCAGTGGTGCAAGGTATTTCGGATTGTATTTTTCTTCAAGCTGCGTGCACCATTATGACCCACGTGGTGCTTATCCTATGCCTTATGTATCCTATAAAGTATAAGTTTACTAAATAACAGAAAAGATCCAAACTAAGCTTGGCCATGATTAAGTTAGTGTACAAATATGCGACGGTCCCGTGTGGTAAAAAAAAAAAAGAGAACAAAAGGCCTATCAGAGACCTCATCATTACAAGTGATACGCGACTCACTGCGCCAAGCGGGCGAGAGATAAAAAATTGGCCCAGCGAATGCCACAGAACTGTCAGCTTGATCAGATAAGAGTCCTTGCTTGGACATTCAATTTGCAAGCATTCTCTCCTACTATGTAGCTCAAGGACTACTATTATAGTACACCGTGTGTAGACGGTGATATAAAGAGAGGGAGGAAGGAGAGACTGATCTATTTTCTCCAAAGAAAAGGCTATAACTACATGGAAAGATATATGGGAATATGTATAATTCTTTCCTTTCTAAGCTGCCCTGCACTTTCTTCAATTTCAATCTTGTTGAATGATCCAATCCCCCATATATGGATCATTTGCTGGCAGACTGAGCAGTTCTTTGATAGCTTGTCAGGGCACTTAGGGTATACATACCCTGTCCTTCATATCTGTGTATCTTTTTTCCCCTAGCTCAAATCTACTTTGTCTAAGCACACTTTCTTTAACCCCTCTTCTCCGTATTCCTGGATGATCGGCATATCAGTCATCATTGGCTGTCTAATGATGTCACTCTCGGAAAATGGCTATTGTTGCAACAGGACGAAGAAATATACTGCGCCTCTTCGATAGTTGTGTGACTATAGCTCGGAGTTCCGCTGCCTAGTTGCTACTCTTTGAGGTTTTCGACATTGAGACCATTCTGCACTTTCTTTCCTCGAACATAACACAACCATCACATCACCCGTCCCAGCAGCGCAGCATAGTGAGTGTTCATTCCCAAATACTCAAAGACCCAGAAATCATTCCAGAGCCTTCCCGCTCTGTCATAATGAGTACCAGCATTCACGTAATAACGTGCAAATCGATTGAGCTCGACGGCTTCGTCTCCGCCGCCGACGACGCTTGGTTCGACCAGCACACTGCACCCATGGACGGCGAGGAAGAGACCGGGGCGCATCCCCATCAAGCTGCGGCTCTCAAAGCGTACCTCAAAGGAGACTCAAAGCCATCTGAGACAGCTGCCATCATGACCAAGCCTCATAACTCCGAGAAGAAGACCGATTTGCGAGACCGTGTACTGGGCATAATCGAAGACGCGCTTTTTGAGTTGCCTGAAAGCCACACGCCGGCCCTCGTCGACCTGCTAAAAGAACTGAGCCAGCTACCAGATGAGGAGGATGGCGACCTAATCTGGAAAGGTCTCGGGAGTTTCGGCCACTCGTGGTCAGATATGTGGAAGCAGAGCCACTGGCGCGAAGCGTTGGCGATGCGAGATCCAGCCACAAGAGCGACGAGGCGCGAGGCACATGTGCACCAGGCTTTTGTAGAGGCATCTTGTGCAATGGCTGCTCTGGGACCAAATGCTGAAGATGGTCTCTTGCCACTGAGCTGGGGCTATCAGTGCATCTCCGAGGCGCTCGAATGCCAGGATACAGTGTGGGACTTTGAGATACCTGCTGCCGTGGTGTGGATTAAAGTAGCAGGGGACAGACTCAGAGAGGGTGCGAAGAAAGGTGAGAAGTCCTGGGCGTTAGAGAGAGAGGGGAGGCTTTGGATGGCGGGACCGATGAGCATGGATCGGTGGAACTTCTGGTTGAAAAGACTCGAGGAGTTTGAGAAGATTGGCGAGGCCATCTCAACAACGGCGAGTCTCGAGCCTAGGGTAAGGAGTATTTGATGGCTTAGTCTATAGACTTGGCGTTAGAGTAGTAGTAGTCTGGGTTGTAAGATTGCTTCCAGACGGCCTTGGTGGCAGACTGCACATATGCTAGACTTATCCCGTGAAACAATCACTGACGAAGTATATTGAACATCATTGGTTGTTCAGCAGTCTCTACTCTATTTCACAGCATTCCTTTCTCCATACCTTAAGCGTCAAGCTCTTTCGCTAAGAGATAGCATTGGCACTCCTCTGCTGCATTGTGGAAGCGGTGGATTCTCAAAGAATCAACTTGGTACATGGGGCTCAGCAGTAAAAGTTAGCAACTCTTCTTCTCTTCGCCGTTTTCCCTTCGATTTTTTTCTCACTTAGCTGCGCTTAGTTGGCCTGGGCAGATTTATCAATATGATTAGGAATTGTAGAACATCTCTGCCAACCATCAACATCATTTTGTTCAAGCGAAACGCCCTGTCACTCGATCCATAAGCGCTATTCGATTGCGCCAAGCCAGCTTTCAACGTCCGATTCTGCCTCAGGCTCATCTTCCCCATCAGTGTCTTCAAGATCGATCCATGAATGCTGGTATATTGGTTTTTCACTGAGAGGGTAACCCGTTGACCTCAACCATTCAAAGATCCCACGGGTTGCTCCTTCCGAGAGCATTTGCGAGAAGAAATCATCTTTATAATCGCCAAGAGCCACCGGTGCCACGTTGGGGACAGAATGTGGTGTTTGGTCAGGGGAATCGCTGTTATCTATTCCGAAATCCCGAATTGAATCATCATTTGTCAACATCCATTCCCAAGACTCGTATTCTAGACAATGACCACATTGAGCATGCTGTCGAACCGTCAGGTCTGTGTCACAAAGTTGTGTCTTCCCAAAAGGCTTCCAAGGCCAGATTGGAGGTCGGTCATGGCCTTCGCAGGCAGTAATGAATGACAATCGGCATTCGTCATCGCGGCGTATTGCTTCACTGTTATTAGTCTCCATTTCAGAGGTCAAGAATGTCTGCGCTGTTCTGGCCCAGGCCGAGGCTGGAAGATCCAAAGCCACTAATCCTATTCGTATATCGCGTAAAACATTATTTGCTGAGCCTGCGAGAATTGCACCAAGCCAGAGAATGCCAAGTATAGGCTTTCGAGTTGCCAAAAACGCGGGCAATTCATTGGGCGAGATGGAATTGATAATCGCAAAGGCTGAATTCAGCCAGGCACTGACAAGATTACACTCAATATCTGGATTGAAAAAGGTACTATGTAGAAGAGAACGCAACCCCCAAATATTGGAGCTCAATGTCATATACTTGGGAAGCAATTCCTTATGCTTAGCAAGAAGATCTGAAATAGAAACAGGCGAGTCATTGACACAGCGTGTTAGTGACGGCCAAGAAGCTTGTCTTGGAAGCGGAAGTGATAATGTTCTCCCCTTTAGGAATGGAATGAAGAGTACCCCAGCAAGAGCGACGGAGCATTGGGCGTAGAGGCGGTGGCGCACACAGAAACCAGAGAGGTAGTCGAGAGCAGTTTCCGATAATGGTGGTTCCGATTTAGCGAGTGATTCTGACTTCGCGCTCAAATTATCCTTGGTGGCTAAGGTAAATCCCACCTTCTTTGCCGAGATCGACCATGGCGACAAATACATATGGCCGTTATACTTCACGGTCGCATCCCAGCAATCGTCAGAACTCAAAATGGCCCACCACCAGACGACTTCTTCCTCACAAGCATCGTCACCGATGTCAATTTGAATCGTAGGTTGATAGTTTGACTGCGGAAATCGACCCTCTCCCCGATCCGTAGTGTAGTGCATATGACATTCGTGGTCAGCAGAGCAATTAAGCAATTCAACCCATCGAGCGGACAGGATATAGGCCCACGCAAAGTAAAGAACCGATAGGTAGTTTCCCTCGTCATAGCCCGAGAGACCTTGGACTCCAGGCCAGTCCGAGAGAGGAGAGTCCTCTGACAATTCCACACTTAATCGACTGTCAATTGCTAATAGAAGTTGCCTGGGCAAAACTTTCGGCGGTAGGTCGCAGGTCCCTTTTGAAGTCCTCCAAGTTGATCTGCCATTGATGAGAAGACCCCTGCTTGGGGATTCCTTTTCCTCGCAGGCGAACGAGATTGGCTTGTCAAAGGAAGCAAGGCCATCCCCGAGAAAAGGCGGGGTCTGACTGACGAGAGGTCTCATACTTATGGCTTTCTGGGGGATTTGGTGTTGCTCATTACCGGCGCTTAGATAGGAATTCCATATTTTGAGACTCTCCTGGAGGACCTCGCTGAATTCATCATCACTTGGCCGCAGGGCATCGCCCATCGCCGCACTAGTAAGTTGGATGCTGCGTTAGCGTTTGGAAAGTGTGACTAGTCGAAAACTAGGAGTGAGCGCAGAAGGATTTCCACTATTTTGTATTCTTGTTGGACGTCTTGGAAGGACATAGAGATGTTGAAGTAATTGGGGTTCTGAGTGGCCCGGTCGAGATGCTATTCCTGTGGCGCGGATGGTTTTATTTTATTGCTGTGGCTTACGGCTGAAGATTGAGGCGAACAAAAAACCTTGGAAGAGGCCATTGGAAATGATCAACACACATTTATAAGCCCAGCGAATGGTCCAGAGAGCTGCATGTAGTAATTTATTATTGGAGAACGGGGTTGTACAAAGTAATGTATTACAGTGTATTATTAGTAAGCGCATATGACCTCCAGGGCTCGGTGTTTAGGACTCGAGTTTGGGATTCGAGTTTAGACACCAAGCTAGAGCCGCGGACTTCAATAGTTTCTTCATTGCCACGAGGGAAGAGGTGGAGTCCAATCTCATTTCCTCAAGGCGGCAAAATGGCGGTAGAAAACGGCTAGAAGCACTAGCTAGTGGGTCATTTAGTGTAGAATCTAAGGAGATAACCGTGGAAGGCAGTTCGAAAGAGGAAGTTCGTTAACTTCCCCCTTTTTTTATATTAGTTCTGTAAGTGGCATTGCCCTACAAATTATGCTGACTGACCTCCTTTCCAACCATCTAGACATAGAAATAGTCTTGTTGGATACACCAATAGAGGGACTGGGCACCATCGTTGAAGGTGCGACAGTTAGTGTCTCGCCATTCTCGTATAGTCGCTTAAGTGGACTAAGCAGAGTACGGGCTCCACTGAAGATAAAACGGAGGATCCACGGATGTGCAGAGTGTGTCGGATACCTTGTCGGGGGTTTCCGTACTGTTTTACAGAGTACCTCAAAGAAATTGCTAGGAAGTCTCAAAGAACTGGACATGGATGTATGGATGAGGCGCATACTAGTCTGAATGGGTAGTAGTATTGGCCTTTTAGCTTCCAAGTTTCTTTGTTTCCCTCAGAGTGGAATTATCTGAGGCAAGATCTTGCTGAGGTGAGGTCAGATGTCAGACTGTTATGGAACGATCGTGTGGAAGCACGGGTACGATAAACTTGCAAATTGTACTCATGTGTCAGGGGTTCCCTCCCCCAGACTCTACCGAATAGCCGGAATTATCTCTGACGTTGCTGTTGTTTCTAGCATTTTATCTTCAAATGTGATTCGCGTTGTAGTTTTGATATGCTAGTTTTGCTCTCCACAAGATCTGCACGCCTCCAGTCCACCGTACTTTTTTTTATATGCACAGAGGATACGGAGATATTGTTCTGTTCTGTGATATAGCAGATGGAATTCTCGAGTATTAGAACCAGAATGTTTCATAGATGCATCTGCATATTACTACATAATCATCTGAAAATAGCCCTAGAGAAAGTTGTACCGATTCCCAGGCCAATAGAATACCATAAACCGGTCAATACAATAGCAAAAAGCAAAAGGGGCTGAATGGGCCCCTAGTCAGATTCCCCACACTGCCCAATCAGCTGACTCCAATTGCCGGGGGTTGTATTATTTGTATTGAAAACGGAGTACCAAATACCCAGACAGTCCGTAGACAGTCCTCAGTCAGTTTCCCGCCTGTCCCCCTAATCACCCGCCCATTGTCTTGCTGAATCGCCGTGGTATTACGGGTGTATCCCCTTTCTCTGCTGAAACTTTCCCAATTTCCCCTCCGTGCCCCTTACCTTTGAACCCTTTGTATTTCCCTTCTCTCTCTCTTTTTCTCTTCCAGATTGGATTCGATTCGAATTCTTCTGATTCTTCCTTTCTTTTCGTTTCTTTCATTTATACCCTTTTGCCGGTTTGTCCTTCGTTTTGGCAACTCGCAAAAAGCACGTCCAGGTGGGTACCCTTTTTTTTCCTCTTGGATATTGTCAATTGGCTATTTGCTTGGGTAAACTCGGTTCCGACTCCTTGCGTCGGGATGCTTACACCAATTCTGAAACGTTGCCTGCTTCGACTCGGCGATGCTTGTACAACCTACGCAACGTTCCCTTCGAGCCCATCAATGCGATATTTCCTCGGATGAAATTATTCCAGTTTGCTGACAGTTGATCCGACTTACACAGTCCCTGTAAACAGAGTACCGAATATCCCTCTACGAAGAAACCTTTTTCTCATCTATTTTCACACCGTTGATTGCGACTTAATACCGCCAAAATGGGTTGCGGAATGAGCACCGAGGATAAGGAGGGGAAGGCGCGGAATGAGGAGATTGAGAACCAGCTCAAGCGCGATAAAATGATGCAAAGGAACGAGATCAAGATGTTGCTCCTCGGTATGGTCGATTGACCCCTGATGGGAATACGGGCAGATGGCTGACTTCGAGAATACAGGAGCCGGAGAGTCGGGCAAGTCCACTATTCTGAAGCAGATGAAGCTTATTCACGAGGGTGGATACTCCCGTGACGAGCGTGAATCATTCAAGGAAATCATCTACAGCAACACCGTTCAGTCGATGCGGGTCATTCTCGAGGCCATGGAGTCACTCGAGCTACCCCTCGAGGATGCGCGCCACGAGTACCATGTGCAAACCATCTTCATGCAGCCCGCTCAGATCGAGGGTGATAGCATTCCCCCTGAGGTTGGAAACGCTATCGGCCAACTGTGGCGCGACACTGGTGTCCAGGAGTGCTTCAAGCGCTCACGCGAATACCAGCTGAACGACTCTGCCAAATAGTGAGTAGTGGTCGCTCGTCTGTCGCATTCCGACTTGACTAACTCGTTTCCCTCTAGCTACTTCGATTCCATTGAGCGCATCGCTCAGCCCGATTACCTCCCCACCGACCAGGATGTCCTCCGCTCCCGTGTCAAGACCACTGGTATCACCGAGACCACATTCATCATTGGTGACCTCACATACCGCATGTTCGACGTTGGTGGTCAGCGATCCGAGCGCAAGAAGTGGATTCACTGCTTCGAGAACGTCACCACCATTCTGTTCCTCGTTGCCATTTCCGAGTACGATCAGCTTCTCTTCGAAGACGAGACCGTCAACCGTATGCAAGAAGCCCTGACCCTCTTCGACTCGATCTGCAACTCCCGGTGGTTCGTCAAGACCTCCATCATTCTCTTCCTCAACAAGATCGATCGTTTCAAGGAGAAGCTCCCCGTTAGCCCGATGAAGAACTACTTCCCCGATTACGAGGGCGGTGCCGACTACGCCGCGGCTTGCGACTACATCCTCAACCGTTTCGTTTCCCTGAACCAGGCCGAGCAAAAGCAGATCTACACGCACTTCACCTGCGCTACTGACACTACCCAGATTCGATTCGTCATGGCAGCAGTGAACGGTAAGCTCAGTCATCTTACTCAGCCTGCAACAGTTGACTAACGTTTCACAGATATCATAATCCAAGAGAACCTTCGTCTCTGCGGTTTGATCTAATGAATCTATCGTTTGGTGACGAAGTGTGTCCAACCTAGATCGCATGTTTTTTATTAACCGGGGCTGATCTGATCCGGTCAAAAAGCCTCGTTTCAAGATCCCGGCGTTGATCTCCTTTTGCGTTTCCTTTTCCTTACTCTCCACGTTCTAATTTCCCCCGCCCTTGACACGATCTCTAGCCAGTTTTTGTGTTTTCTCTTGTCGCCCCTGATATCCTCGACAGAAAACAAGGAGTGTTTCTCTTCCTTCTTTTTTTCTCTTTCCTATTTCCTTTCATCCTTTTTTTTTTGACCCATCTGATTTGAATGCTGGATATCCTATCATCTCTCTCCCCCATTTTCTTGTTTATGTATGTAACCATACCGTCTCCCCCCATCATTTTCCTTGGTCTTGCGTCCGTTGGAAGCCAAGAGCGTCCATTCGGGCATTGGGCACAGGGAAATGGCAGGATCCGCGGATTTGATTCCTTTTCATGTGTCATGCCAGGCCGGTCGTTGGGTTATTTCAGAGTTCAAGGACTGACTCTTAGGTTCTGACTCTTAATTCCACACTGTTTCTATACAACTCTTGATACGTATTATATTTGTATACTCCCAAGTTGTAGATATCGACAGTAGCATTGTAATTTTGTTGAGAAGTATAGACAGTGAATTTATGCAGAGCGAGATAAGGGTATCGACGCATAAAAATGGAATCAAACTGTCGTGCACAAGCATGAAGACAGCGGCCAAACTCTCAAAACCTCAACTTCGGCCCAACATAAACAATTAGAATAGCAACAACCCATAATCCGAAAATCCACGCATACAACATCATCCGCCCCCATAGCCCCTTCCCTTCCGTCATCTTGCGCAACATCCCCATCCTCTTGCCCGCCGCCTCCATAGTGGAGCTCGTGCGATCAATACCCGACACCGCACGGTCCAAAGCAGACTTCTCACCTTCCAGGGTCGCCTGGAAGGACTGCGAGGAGGATTTCAATTGCGAAGCGAGCGTCAGGAGAGAGCTGGTTAGATCTTCCTGTTCCATTCTGTGGGTGCTCAGTTCGGTTTCTGTTTCAGAGATCTTGTTTGCATTGCTTCCCGTCGCCGTTGCTTTGTCAGTGGAGGGCAGTGCGGGGTGCGTTGTGTGGCGGTTGCGGAGGGTTGGGGGTGCTGGCGGGCTTGTTGATGAGGGGGTTGATGAGGGGGTTGATGTTGGTGTTGGGGTTGGTGTAGTCGCTGTTGAGGATGTATTCGTGGGGGTTTGGGCTTCGCTCTTTGCCTTTACTTCTCGTGGCGAATCTGATGGTTGAGACGATGTCTGCTGGTCTTTCGGTTGGGATACAGGCGGGATAGCCTTCTCGGCGATGGGCTTGGAGAATAGCTCCTTCCATTCGTCATCGACGTCTTCGGTCTCGTCGTCTTCATCTTGATTTGCCTCGGCTTTGGCGTCTTCTTCGTCGAGAATGATCTGTATACGCTTCAGGAGCTGCTTATCGCGCGCAATCTCGGCTTGTGCTTCGTGCTTGCGGTCGAAGGTTTTCATTTGTGGGAGGGAGCGCTCGAGTTGGGTGAGGAGTGAGCGGGCGTATTCAACGTTCTGTAGCATTGGTCAGGTTCAAGGTTCTGAGTAATTTTGCCTTTGGAAGTATCTCCCTTAGAGGTAAAGCCATAGAGAGATTGAGTAAATGCCTACCTTGTTCACGCGCATACGCTGGTATTCTGATTGTTGGATTGAGCGCCGATCTGTCCCCGGGGAGAGGAGATTATGCTCGAGTCTGGTGAACATGCGGGCAACATTGAGAAGAGCGAGATCGGGAGATCCCTCAGAGGGGAATGCGGTTACGGTCATGGCTGCGACTTGGAATTAGAAGAGTGCGGTAGCTATACGTTGAAGATACGTAGAACATTGGGTCCCACCTGCAGGTCGTTTTGGGGATGACTCAGCATTCAGGTGGGCCCGGGGAGAGTGGATCAGATTCTATCAAAGGTTCGGCATAGAAAAGTCGTCTACATAGTGTATGCTTTTTACCACCCTCATATACTAAAAAAACACACCTAAAAAAAACATTCAGAAACACACCAGAATACTCTTTTATTTGACATCTATGATATTGGGTTCTCAAACTCTTATGTCGTCAACACAGTGGCCGCATGAGTGGCCGACTAGAGTTTAACTACATACATCTACTTCGCACAGAGTAACTCCATCCAAATAAGCCGGCCTCTAACATGATCAAATTATGCTCCCATAAGATTCTCAAAAGCTCGTAGCTCCCTCGATGCTAGCACAGATGAAGCAGATGGCCTCTTTCCCGGATCGTGTACCAACATGAAACGAAGAAGATCCCTCAGCTGATTCGGCATCTCCATCGTTTTTGTCTCCTTGTCAAAAGGTAAGATAGCTTGTAGTTCTGGCACACATTTACCGAGATTCACGGCAATATTTAGTGAGGCTTTAAGGAAATGGCCATTGACCTCATCAGGAGTCGGAATTTTCCAGTTGGGGAAGAGCCGTTTGATCTTTGCCATAGACCAAGGCATGTTAAGAAGAGGATGAGGGCTATCCCACATTCCTAACACGCCGGTTTTTATCCAGCAAAGTAACATCGCGGCAACTGCCCAGACCTGCGATGGCCCTGCACATGCTTCACCAAGGAAGACTTCGGGAGCTCGCATGGCATATGGCTGGGCGTTAAGCAGCTCACCAGCCGGAACAACTATGAGCATATTATATTAGCGAAAGTATATCTCGGCTATTAAACTTTGCTTACCCAGTCCTAAGTCTCCCACTTTAGCGGTAATGGAGTCAGAACCGGTGCCAGAAAGTAGAATATTAGCGGATTTATAGTCTACGGTAGTTAGTAGATGCAAACTCTTTCAAGTTTCCAAGTTCAGGAGTCGGTACTTTACCTGTATTCACATATTTAGAGTCCTCCAGAATGACACAACTAGTTAGCGCTGCTCTTAGAACAGAAACAATAAGTAAATGGGTGCCCAGATCATTAGGCCAGTATCTTAACTCTGCAAGAGTGGTAACGTATTCCACTACCGAGTGGGCCACCACTACCGAGTGGGCCACCCCATCTAACCTACCAATTTTAAATACATTTATCTCAACCATAACGCCATTAAATTAATTGAACTAACTAAGTGGTCTATCTGGACATGTTTCTCTTCTATACCCTGGCAATCTATATATTCCACACCCCCGGGGGGGCCGCGTACGTGGCTGAATAGCCGATTCTCTAGGTATACCGGGGCCGGGGAGAGGTGCTTCAGTTGCTTCCTGTTGCTGCATAATTAATGCAGAGGCTTCTTGAACTGAAAGGCCTTCTTCGGTGGGTATCTGCCTTCGAGATCGAGTACGCTTTTGCTTCTGCTTCTCGTTGGCGGCGCGTAATTCCTTGTTTTCTTTGGCGAGTAAGATAGTACCTTGTATTGTAAGACGGAAGCCTTTCACAAGCTGGTTTAATGCACGATCTAACGGGCTAGGCGGGCTTCGAGATCTTGTACGAAGTAAAGCTTTGATTGATGAAGCCTAACGACGTAGATCTTTCTCTGTAAAAGGGGTTTTTGGTGTAAAATTCCGGCTTGATTCACTACCCCGGCTAGCTGGGGGGTTGGAGTTCGAAGCCGAATATTGAGCTTTGAAATCACTCTCTCCGGTAAAAAGGGGACTAAACCGGCTGCTCCGAAGCTATTTTTAATAGTCTCCGATTTGAAGGCTTCAATTCGTGCGAGGGGGTATACTTCGAGGAAGTCAAGCTTGTCAATATGGTTGATCCCGTTCCGTATTTTGGTTTCAACTATCCGACCGTACGATCGTTTTAATACCGCAAAACAGCCAATATCCAGAGGTTGTAAAAGATAAGATGAATGTGCTGGTATACAGATTGGTATTACCTTATTTTGCTCACAAATTTCGTCAAATTTAGGCGTTAAATGACTTCCGTGGCCGTTAAGTACTAGAAGCCGATACCCCCCCTTCGTACGCGAAGAAGTACTAGGAATAAAGAGCTTTTCTAGCTAACGGAGTCCAATTTTATCAGAGGTCCAGCCGTTAGGGCTTACTTCGAAACGCTAGTTCTCCGGAAGGCCTTCGAACCATGATTTAAGAAAGACTTTGCCTTTAAAAATCACACACAGAGGGAGGGCCTAACCCGAAGCATTCGTACACTCAATTGTAGTCACCCATTCACGATTTCCAGGTTGTAAAACTCCTCTTCGACTAGGTAAATCACTTCTCGTAATAACCTTTATAGTTGAAATCACTCCTATAGCGAAACCAGTCTTATCGAAGTTATAGATATCGTCGGGATCGATTCCAAATTGAAGGATTGTCTTTTGAACCAGATTAAACCACCCTTAAATGATTTTTGGGTCTTCGTATTTCGCACGCTCGTAGTTATACCGTTTTGAGAATCGGGAGGAGAGGAGAGGATACCGTTGTACGAATTTCGTAACCCAGTTTTCGCCGACCGAAGGAACCGGGGTAGTTCCACGCTTTTGAAGAAGAAGATCCGCCATTTCTCGTACTATAGAGTGCCGGGGGGCCCCTCCACGAGAATCCATAGAGAGTATCCATTTTTGAAGAGATTCCTCCTCGAGTTCTGTTAATATATGACCATTGGCGCGTGTTTCAGGACGAAAGGTATCACCAGCGAGGCGGCGTTATAAGGTAGAGCGGGGGACTTCGAAACGGCGCGCCACTTCACGAATTGAAGAGATTTCTTGATTCTTAAAAGCCTGGATAGCTAGTAAGATCCTACCCTCTTGCTCTATTAAATTTCTAGAGCGTTGAGAGCGAATTGGTGGTATAGTGGGTGGTTGAAGAAGAACGGGTTAAATTAATTGACGCGTTTTGGATAGGTGGCCCACTCGGTAGTGGTGGCCCACTCGGTAGTGGAATACGTTATCTAGCCATTCTAAGGCGATAGTGCTGTCGTCAATCACGTCGTATAATTTTCGGAAGCACTGGCTGGAAGCAACACCAGGAAGGCTGTAGGTCCGAATTTCACGGTCCATGTTCTTCATAGCAATTTTATCGTCAGGTGAAGCTCCTTTGATAAAAGCCCTACCGGGAAAAGTTAGCTTTAGAGTCTAGATATTATTCATATAATATAACCAACCATTGGGGCCCTTCGGGGACGTTACGAGAGTCATCACGTGGAATCACCTCAGCTTTGAAGACAGTAGAGATGTGCGTGCTATCTCCCTTGACGAGGTTGAGAATACGGTAGTTCCACTGGGCGCCTTGTAGAATATTCCCAGGAACAAGTGACGATATGGTTCGAATCAAAGGATTGTTTATGGTAGATGAAGCTGGACGGATGAGATACATTGGAGTAGATTCATATAACGACGAGTGTTTATATGTGTGAGTGGATAAGTGGATATACAAACGGAGCATTAAAGATCATGGAGAGAAGCCTGGAGGATTAGAGGAATCTGCGGAGAATTCGCCCCTTGTTTGTGGCTGTGTGGCTGTGTTCGCTGTGATCTAGATCTTGAATGCCGTATGTATATGTATGTACACCTAAAATTGAACCTCTATCGGGTTTGGTTGCCTTGTATCTGATATGTTCTACGTCTTCCTCTATGCCCATCAGTTGAGTTTGACCACAGAACGATGATAGACCGAAATATCTCTAAAGCTTACCAGAAACGTATATAAGTTTATCTCGGCCGATCTCCTGCCCGGCTGGAGCTCTCAACTTAGCTCATCGCCTAAAGGCTTAACTGCCCAGGGCCTCTTTCGCTGACAGGGCCCTTTTATACACTAGCAAAACCATTCGTCACTATCACCACCCAGCTCTGTCTGTATCGAATCGATTACGTAGAATTGCCACTCCGGCTGCCATGGCCAGATTACCAAGTTCATTTCTCCCTCTGTGGCCCTTTCTGCTCCTACGTCGTTACCCCACGGCGCTATCGTGTGTCTTCCGATAACGGACTTGCCGCCTGATGCGCTGATGTCGACGTTGCTTCAACCTCGGCATATGTCAGACCATGGGCTTGAGGAATGTAGCACCGAACTCCCATCCCCCGGGTGGATTCCATAGCAGGTTTTAATGGCCAACGTGACACTTCAGATTCCTTTGACTATAATATAATTTTGGCATTGGATAGATACTATGTAAGGATATCACATATGGACCCGTTTATAGTCACTACTCACTGCAAAGTAACAGCTCTGGGACATTAGGTGGATCCGTATCTTTGAGACCATTGATTATAAAATAGAGAATCTTATCTTTAAGTCATACTTATAGCCCATCTTGGGGACTAATGCACTATGTACTAGAATAAGTTAGGAGGGCCATGCAAGTTTCTCCAATGGGATAAGAGCTTAATCCAGCCTTACGGCCTACCTATCTACTTACCTACATAGCTAGGGTTTTCTGTAGAAGGTTGTCGAACTTCCAGGATGACCCTTTTGGACAAAATATTCTCTCGTTGCATGGAGTCATGGTATTTACTTGTAATTTACGGCCAGTTGATTATGTGCAATTTGATTATAATACCAAGAGTCAATAATTCTGAAGATTTTCTGATGACAGAGGCATGCTACGAAGCAAAGAAGAGGATCAAATAATGGACATAGATGATGACCTACCTATAGCCATGGAGCTCTCTATGTAGCCCATGGGGACAAAACACCAAGCCCCCCCCCCAGGAGAGAGGTCTGACTCGGTGCTACCAGGCATCTAGGCAGCCTTGGAAGGTTGCGGGAAATGCCTCGATACCTTGCTGCCTAAATGCGCGATGTTTCTCAAATGATCATTGCCATGGTATCAACCTTCTTCCAATATCAAATCAAAGGTTATACATAAAAAAGTCGTCTACACATTTGATGCTTTTTACCGCCTTCGTACAAATCTACCAAGACGTCTAAAAAGGACATCCAAAAACAAATTGGAGTGTGCTTGCGTATAGCGTCCCAAATTAGGTATCATCTCGGCCCAAAAATACCTACTTTGTCAAATACAAAGACTGCATAAGCGACCGATTATTCTCGTATATCGTAACCACAATACTTGTCATAATCATATATATTGCTGAACATATTTGCCGCCCAAAGCGATGCTTGCCCGAAGATAATCCAAGCCCACGCTTTTCCAAAGAAAGACATTATTCGTGAAATAGTAAAGACACAGATAGGAGAGGGAACAAGAAAGACATAACAAAAGAGAAGAAAAAGGAAAGTAAACAGAAACACGGAATCCCGGGCTGAGATCCAATGAAGAAGACCATTCAAGCCCGATAAATGGACTTCTTCCCGACGAAGCCCGAGAAACAAGTGGCCAACTAGCTATACTCAACAACAACGCGCTTCCAAGTCCGCCCTCCTTCGGCATCATCATCGCGCATTTGCTGGGTCGATTCATTTCGTTTTTGCACCTCATCGCCTGAAACAGGCGAAGAAGCCTTTGAAGATGTAGGACTATTCACGTCCATGGCCGATCTCTCACTTTGCTGTTCTCTGGCTTGTGCAGCGAGAGCTCCACTGCTCGGGAGGAGGCTTGTATGCGATAAAGGTTGCAAGATGTCACATGCAGATCGAGGGAGCAAGTCCGATGAGATGATGTCTCCCTTTTCCATGATGATAGACTGGAGCCAGTAGTCTTGCTCGTTCTGTTCTTTGAATTCAGAGAAGAGGATGTGTGCTTGTCTCCGACGACGATATTCGATATACCGGTGTAGGAAGATGAGGCCGAGAAGAGAAAAGCTGACTAGGCTGGTCACTGGCAAAAATAATTCTGTGACTGACTGTAGGATTTCGCACGACGGATGGTTGTATCCTTGTTGCACAGTGTTCATGACGAGGTTTTGGGTGGTTGGATAGCGTCCACCACTCACGAGGAATTTGTTGAAACTGTCTCCCCCTGTGGAATGGGGGGATCAGCTCAACTTAAGACCGCGTGTGGGGAAGTAAATCTAGGCCAGGACTTGAAGGATTTTTACCCAAAGATACGGGTATTAATCAAGACTATAGGCGGACTTGGCGGGGAGGAGGCGTAGAAGGAACTAGTGGGATGGAGTACAGGGGTGGGCCTTTTAGTTCATATATAAAAGCTAGAGTTATCAGAATATTAGGTCCGAAATAGACTAGGAAAGATGAAGGATGTATCTACGGAGTACAACATAGGGCTTCTGCCGTACATCGTACATCGCAGAGAAAAAAAGAAAAAAAAAAGAACCAAAAAGATTCGAGCCCGACAACCAGGAATTCTAGGCAAATTACAATTACTTGATAGATCTTAAAGTCAAAAAAACACTTGATTATGTCTTGATAGTATTCAATTCAGAGAAAATGTGGGTAAATAGGGTAAATAAGGCCAGCCAGCCCGGTCTGTCACTCAGCTTGCCACTTATACGCCACTTGTGAATTTTCTTTGTTTAAGTACAAAAATATAATTAAATTAATAACTATGTAAATAAACAGGGTGTATTTGTATCCTGTTAGACTTGAAATCAGTTCAAATCCCGAGCATTTGATACTTAATATGCGGAGAAAATGTCCATGTGCAGTCGTGACAAATTTACGCAGGTATGGGAGATATCGATCGAGATCGCCTTTGGCTTTCAGCTGGCGCCTGCATGAGTGCCCGCGCTAAGCACTTTCACATATCGAATCATACTGTAAGATATCCTACTCGGGTATTCTAGTTGGGCGAACTCATGCGAACAGTTAAAAGATACTTGCTTTTTTTTTGTTTTGTTCAGATCTATCTCAAGTGGATCGATCGCCCTGACTCGGGCATTGAAGCCTGCAAATCAGAGACACGAAAAAAAAATAATCAAGAAGCAATTTTGATCTTTGTATTCACTGGATTTATCAAAACAAAAAGCCCTAAAATGTCTAACAATGTAATATAACACTAGAGTTTAGCGGTGACACTGACACCCTTCAGCTCCTCCTTTGCCAACTCTCGCAATTTCGTGCGAAGAATCTTGCCCGAAGGATTCTTGGGTATCGCATCGAGGAATACAACCCCACCGGTAATCCGCTTGAACGCGGCGACTTTGTCTTCGATGAAATGCGCGATCTCCTTAGCGGTGGCGGATTGGCCAGATGTAAGCACCACATATGCGCGAGGTCGCTCATCGTTATTGCTAATCTGGGTTAGAACAAAAATAAAAAAAGAAACAGATAAAACTTACATGGCAACTCCGATCACCGCAACATCTGATATTGCGGGATGTTCAAGTAGAAGAGCCTCCAATTCAGCGGGCGCCACCTGATTACCCTTGACTTTAATCAATTCCTGTACTTTTTATTAGTTTCATCCTTTATTTTTCCCCCTTCTTTTCTTCTTTTTTGATCAAATCATACCTTCATTCGATCCACAACATGGATTTTACCATCGTCATCCACAAACGCAATATCCCCCGTGAGCAGCCAGCCATCCTTAGTTTTGGTCTCTTTAGTGGCCTTCTCGTTGCGCCAGTACCCTTTCATGACATTAGGACCGCGAACCCACAGCTCGCCACGGGCATTCCGCTCTGTCACTTCTGTTCCATCGGGCGCCATAATCTTCGCCTCGCAATTAGCATTAAGCTCCCCGACAGCCGCAGAAGTACTAATGTCGCTAGGGACCCATCCCGTAATCGAGCAAGTCGCCCTATAGAGCAGATGAGATTAGTATTCATCAAAAATCCCCCAAGCAAAACATCAAGAAAAAAAAAAGCAAACTCACTCTGTCATCCCCCATCCCTGCTTGATATTAATCTGCCCTGGAGGCCACAACTTCTCAACCTCCTCACAAACCTCCCTCCCCAATGGCGCAGCACCACACCCAATAAACTCCACACTACTCAAATCATACTGCTTCACAGAAGGATGCTTCGCCAGCAAAACAACAACAGGCGGCACGATAATAAAATCCGAAATCCGGAATTTCTGCGTGTACTCCAACATCTTGATGAAGTCAAACTTGGGCATCATATACACCGGCGTGCCACGGTACAACGCCGCCGCGATGTAGATATTCTGCGCCAATGCGTGGTACATCGGCAGGAAACACAGCCAGCGCGAGCGTGCAAGACGGTTCTTGTAGTCCGGATGCAGACTTGACGTGTAGCAGTACTGGAGCATATTGGCGACATAGTTCTTGTGCGAGATCTCGACGCCCTTGGGACGACCGGTTGTGCCGCTTGAGTAGTTGAGCGCGAGTGTTCGGGACGAGAGGGCTGGTGTGTTGAGGTCATCCCAGACGAAGGCACGGCCTTCTTCTTCTGAGGCGAGGAGGTCGCTCCAGTAGGCGCAGCCCTTTTGGGGGTTTGTTACGCCGTCATAGATGGAGGCGTCGTAGACGAAGACGCGCTCTTGAGGTAGGTTGGCTTGTTTGGCTGCTTCCAGGCCTATGTCGAGACTGTTGCTCGCACAGAGAAGGTATGTAGCGCCGCTGTCTTGGAGTTGGTAGGCTAATTCGCGGGCTACGTAGCCTGGGTTTGCGCCCGTGAAGACTCCCCCGGCCATTATGACGCCGAAGAAGACTACCGGGAAGAAGAGGTCGTTGCCCGAGAAGAGGAGGACGCGGTCTCCGGTCTGCAGTCCTGATTTGCGTAGGCCAGCCGCGAGCCGCTGGCTCCAGAGGCGGAGATCATGGATGGTATGGTAATGGGTTTCTGGCCGGGTGGCTTCGAGGAAGCACTTCTGTGTTTTGGACAGAGGTGCTGTTGGGGATTTGAGGAGGAGAGAGGCTAAATGCGTGTCTGGGATGTCGATTGTCCAGCGGGATTTATACGGCATCTTGGGCAATATAACAAGAGATGCCTCAATATTATTGGTATATAGGGAGGAATGATGACTTGAGGGGACAAGGCCCTCATATAAGTTCGTAGATCGCCCAACTCTGCATAATATCGGTTATTCCTTCATAATTCGTGGTTCTACTCCCCGCATTATCGGTTATATAGTTTGCGGGGAACTTAGCCGGAGCCTCGGTGTTTACACCGTATGGGGTAATAGGGTGGAATTGGGGCCTTAAGATCGGATACAGCATAGGTAGGGGCTACCTAGGTACCTAGGTATTAACGGAATGGCTGATGTTTTGGACTCCAGGTACTCCGTAGATGGGTATGTGATATCATCACAGCCCCCGAGATCACCGAGTTGCAGTTGATAGATCATATTCTAAAAATAAGAACCCAAAAGAACAAAGGACTGGAGATAATGCAATTGTCTTGACTTGAGCTCCATGCATGAATTAATTCATCTACTACACCCCGACCTACCCAGAATACACGAAGAAAAAAAAGAGAAACAGCAAGAGAAAAAAAAGGTTATACAGAACAAATTCATGAACCCTCCCCACCCAGACACGTAATTGCTGCCTTCATCTCGCTAACAACCCTCTCCTCTAGTCGGTTCTCAGCCCCAGAAGTTGAGTCAACAGGCTTCTGTCGGGACCATTCCACCTCTTTCTCATTAGTCGCGACAATGCGTGCGCGTAGAGAAGCTCGGCGACTGAGCAGCTCCTCGATATCTTCCTTGACCTGCATCCGATCCCATTTGAGATCTTGGATGGCCTGTGCGTCAACTCCGGCACTGGCACCCGCCTCACGGAACCGGTCCAGAATGAACGAGATCAGCGAAAGCGAGTAGGCCTCGGAAATCATGCTGAGGCTGATCCACTTGGATGTCGGAACGGAGGAAACGGCAGTATGGGTAGAGAATGCCTCTGTCGCGCGGGTCAGACGCGACTCGAATTGGTTGAGGAAGGCTGCCACTTCGGGCGCGGTCCGCATCACACTGTGGAGCATGTTGAGACACAGAGGAAGGAATCCTCCAGTCCAGATGGCGTACAGTCGGGGAACAGGGTCAAATGGTCCGAATGATTTCTTTTGGGTGAGGATGTTTGTAAGACGGCAGGTAGATAATTTCATCAAGACAGCCTCAACAGCAAGGTGCTCTGCGAGCAGGGGCAGGGTTGACATTTTGACCAAGATCGAGATACTGAGGTCGGCGTACACAGGGTCGCCTGCCACAGCTAATTGGTCGGCCCAGGAGAAGAGCGTTGTCGCATGACGAGCAGTGTCGTTTTCCTCAATGTGGTAAACGATATGCTCATAGAGGCGATCGGCGTTCTTCACTTGCAAGGCTGTCTGCAGAATAGCAATGATAATGGCGAAATCTTTCGGTGTGCATTTCTCCGGCTCGTCGTGGAGATAAGTGGTGAGGGATTTGAAGCCCTGAGCCACCACTGTTTTTACGACTTCCACGATAACAGTTAGATCTGAAGAAACCTCGGCCTTCTTGTTGATAGCTTCGGGGGCACTCCGAGAGGGGCTATCCAGGTGGAACTGAAGGGAAAGGAACAGTACGTTCAGGAGTGACCGGAAGTAATCAGTATCATCATGGATCAAAGCGTCTTCGTATGTCAGGTGCCGGGCTCGCAGTGCCTTCCACGTAATCTCGAGGAGCTGGAAGACTTCGGCGCCTCTGGCATGTACCTCGACAAGGCGCTGGAGAAGTGCTTGTGCGAAATCAACGCGCGTTTGTTGGATTCGTTCAAAGATGGCTTCAGGAGGACCAGTGTTTATATTGGCGTTCAAACAATTTTGCGCGACCAGTGCCATCGACTTCCGGACTTCGGTGTCGGGCATGAAATCGGCACAGTGCTCGATAGCGAAGAACTTCCAGCTATGGAGGAGGCTCTATTTCAAGTTAGAAAATAAACCCGTTACAAATGAACTGAAGAAAACCTACCACCTGCGCCTCAACCAGAGACAGATTGATGTTGGCGCGCTCAAACTCCTCGGCAAAGCCACGGTTCTTGGAACCAGCCCAGGCAAAGTCGTAGGACAGCAGCTTGTCTCCCATGCTCAAGTCGTAGTAGTAATCCCGTCCTAGGCTACGAACCTCGAGCGGTGTCCTTTTGAAGTCAACGATCTTGCAGCCCGAGTACCGCATCTCAAAGTTCTTCTTCAAGTTGGCATGCAATGAGGAATTGTAAGCCGAAACTTCAACTGCATCCTTGGCATACCACGATACCAATGGAATCAGGGTCTTTATGAAGCTTCGATCACCCACCTCCTTTGCAGAGTGCAGGTATACCGCGCATAGGTCCGCGACAACGGCTGCAATCCGCGTGGCATAGATTTGGTCCATCACTGGCAGAGAAGAAATCTTGAGCTTTGAGACGTGGTTAATTATGCTGGCGAAGAACGAAGGATGCTTGTTCAGATGGGAAGTGGCCCATGGCCAGTTTTCTTGGGCACGAGAGACAAACTCGAGCAACGCCAAGGCTACTTGGGGCTCTTGTTGGTCAATGTGAGACAGTTTCTCAAGTGCCATTTTCAGGAAAGGCACACTCCTCATACTGAGACCACCCGAACTCGATTCCTTCTTCAAAGTCTGGCGAGGGGATGATCCTGTGAGAATGAAAACTGCAAGCCACTGTTGGCGTTTGCTAACAAATGTAGATAGCAGCTGCCATACTGCAAGAAGTAGAGGCCTATCACAGACCGGCTTGTCGAGTTGTGACAGTACATCAAGGAACAGACAGGATGACTCTGCCCCAAGGTGGCCAACAAGAGAAGGGGGTTCATTATCTGGATTTGACGCAGCGCTAGAGATCAAAATCTCGAGAAGCGACAGAACCGGCAACCTGTATGCATCATGCAACGCGTAGAGTTTGACTAGAACTGGGCTGGCCTTGAACAATTGTTCTTCCAGAAGCGAGCCAGGTTGCTCTGCCAGTTGGGCAGCCTGCACAAGTTTGATGCAGAGCCGCAGTGTAGACTTCACCTGGTTCTCGAAGAGAGTGAGATATCTGAGATGGAGGGTTGGGGGAGTCTGGAGACCCTCAGCGATCAACCGAAGAATTGGATTGAAGGGCAAGTCAGTGGTTGACCGAGGGCGCAGCATATCCAGAATGTACGCTGCGGATGTAGAGAAGATACCCGTAATTTTAGTTTCGAGTTTCGGGTTGTCATTTATTCCGAAGGCATAGTATAGAACACGCTCGAACGAAGTAGCAAGCATCGAGTTGATCTTGAACCGCTGTTCTGGTAGGTTGAACCTCCAATTTCCACAGCTGTTGAAAATCTCCACCATTGCACGAGTGAAGTTCAACATAATAGTTCTCATGACGTGAGACGGAATACCCGCACTCCAATCAGACGCAATGGTTGATTTGCTTGTTGTCACACTGCCCGGGCTCTTTCGCAACACTGCTCGAGATGCCGCATCATCGATGACAGCGTCCACAAGGTCGACACAGCTCAGAAGGAACGGATACTCGCCAGAAGGGATTTCCATTGCTGACACAATCGCTGTCATGACACCACCCTTGCCGTCGGACCCAATGAGACTGCTGCGACCAAGGAAAGGCCATACCCGACTGGGTAGGATCTTGAGAAGTACCTTGATAAAGCCCAGGCATGCCATGGTTGCATCCAAAGACTTGCCTAAGTCTCCCCTGGTGCCGATAGTCTGCAGATTGCGTTCAAAGATATCGAAGATCACAGAAATGATGTCACCCTGTTTAGACAACCCATCACTAGCCATCTCTAGGATCCTCTTGCCACTTGCATCGCCAGAACTTTGTGTCTTAGAGTTGGCTATCAAGTCCGTCAAGAGAGCAATGACTTCCGTAGCAGTGTCGTCAGTCCACCCAGGCGAGTGCCCACCGGTCTCACTCCATTCTTCAAGCCAGCTTCCTAGAAAGCTTAAACAGGAGTATCGATGCTCCCACATGATGACTGCGGGTTTTGAATCGGAAATGACTTGACCAATGGCCTGCCGTGGGATTTCGGAAGAACCGCTGACGATTATAGCATTGCTTGATTCCCTTTCGAAAAGGCGATTCTGGGATGACGTTTCAAACATTGGGAGGGGTTGGAGCAGGGATACAAAATCGGCGTTCTCATCCTCTCGAATGGTGACATAGCCCTGGAAAGTGGGAGAGACAATCTGTGTAAATGATTCCATGTTTTCTATCTCCTCAAGGATTGAGGGCAAGCCTTCTTCATTCAAAGAGTGCCCGCTGACGAGAGCTCGACAGAGCTGTAGGAATGGTGCCGTTTCATAAGGGAAACGGGACCGTGCGACGCGGAAGATGCCATTCATCAAATCCTGATCCTTGGCGAAAAGAGACTTGGGATCGCTGGCAGGTCCTAGGGAATTCGAGTCTCTTGAAAGTTCGTTGTCATCATCACTTAGGATAGCGAGGACTGACCCCACGATTTCTGGTGAGTAATCCAAGAACTTAGTAGCAACTCGGATAAGGTCGAGAAGTGACAATCGAACCCATCTGGTTGTCAGGCCATCATCAACGGCTGACATTGACCCGGTCTTGCTAGCCAGGGCGATAACGGTATTGAATGCCGATTCTTTGATGGCATCAGATGTAAGAATGAGAATAGCATCTTCGGCCGTACTTTGCGGGGTTCTGGCGCAGTCGAGCAATTCTTCATAGTGTGACTGTTCGGATGCTCGGGCTAGCCCTTCATTCTGTGTGTTCTCGTTGTAGGAAATGGCCGAATGACGGCTCAGATCATGATCTCGCTTGGTTCTCATATCTTCTGCCAGTTCCTGGATGGTATACAAGATCAGGCCCCATGAGAAGGCTGCCGGATTCGCGGTGTTCAGATCACCGCATGCAGTAAGAAAGAGCTCATTGATTTGAGAGATTTTCTCCTTGCACCAGAAGTAAGACTGTGGGGCGTGTTCGATATGTTTGTGATCCTGGATTGCAGAAATAGCAAGAGAGGGTTTTAAAAACGCCAATGTGGTAAGTGACGCGAAGGCTTGAAGGGGCAACAACACTTCCACAGGTTGTTGACAAGGCTATAAGAAAACGTTAGCATCCAAAAAGCTTGAAATAGGCGAGTGAAATAGGCGAGTGGCCACTTACCACCTGAATTGGCTCCAAGAAGCTATAATCAGCCATGAGCTGGAGCCAGGACAATAAGAGGTCTGCAGTTGGAAATTCCACCGAGGCTTGTAGCAGGTGGAATATCAGTTGCACGATATGAACAATCTCCTCCACGAGACTTGTTCTCCACATGTTCTCGAGTTCCTCACTGCTCTCTGTGGCACTCAGCCAGCCACCGTCTCCTTCCAAACTCGTTAGCCGACTGCGTATTGAGCTGATGCATTCTTGAAGAAATTGGTTCAATCCATCGCCAGTCGACTTGTTTTGGAAAATTGTGGTTCCTATTTTCTGCAAAGCAATTTTGCGGGCGGGAGTGGTCGAGTCGGCTGAAATACCATCGTGAAGAGACAGAGCAAGCAGCTTGCGAAGTGTCTTCACTACATGGCTTGTCTCTGAGAGATAGACTTCGCGGAGTCGTAGACGCCTCTTCTCCTCTTTTTCAAATGACTGATCGCCGTCACTTCGCGCAGTTTGATTCAATAGGTTGGCGAAGTTGGGACCAGCTAGAGAGCCTCGAAGATTCTCTGTTCCAGCCGCGCTCTGTAGACTAGTCGCTTCCTCGCTGGAAAAACCGGTTGTGAGGCGCGTTGCCGGGCGGTACTGCCATTCCAGCACAGCGATGCGAAGAGCAGCAATCTCGTCGATTCCGGCTTGCTTGCTTAGCCATAGCGCATCCGCCTTGATCTCCTTCAGGTCAAAAGAGCTTTGGCCATTGGTTTCGACATGGATTGCGGCGGTTTTAGATTCGAATTCGGTTTTGGATTTTGCTGAAGGGGAGGAGAACGGTTTTAGGCTTTCGGAGAGTAGGCGAATGGATTCGGGATGCGCAAAGAAGACATCGATATTGCCTCCATCGTTGGCATGACTTTCGGGATCAATGGCGTAAAGAAAAGCTTGTTTCCAGGACCTGCAAAATATCAGTATATCGGCTTCAACGACGACAAGTGATTAGAATGGACATACAAGAGTTGAACGTCCCCGGAGAAGCACTTGTCCAGGGACGGGAAATAGGCCTCCGGGACGGGAGCCATTTTGGGCAATTAGATCATCATAGGATAGAAAGGAAGAGCGGAACGAGGCGACACCATGAAAAGTGACGGCACGGCAAAAAAAAGAGGTAGGTGGCGAGCGTGGGGAGCTCTTGAATTGAGAAGGAGCTTCAAAAGAATATTATTCACCGCGACTGGGTCAACAATCAGGTGCCTATCTGATCTTATTGCCAGGCGGTGAGTGGCAATATGGGAAACCCGACATTCTTTTTGACTCACATCCTTCCACAAGGCTTATTCGCAAGCATCTAATTCGGTTTAAGGTGTGCGAGATTCCGAAGCTTGCAGCATAACGTATATCGCATTCTATCAATCCACCCGATCTCCAACGACAATCCGTCGCTATGGCGGACCTTGTCGACCACTCCCCCCACCATGCCACCAAGTCGGCCAAATTGGCCAGCGCATCCAATGTCATTTTGATCGACAACTACGACTCATTTACCTGGAATGTCTACCAGTACCTCGTCCTTGAAGGAGCTAGCGTCACGGTCTACCGCAATGACGAAGTTACTGTTGAGGACTTGGTCGCAAAGAAGCCTACTCAACTAGTTATCAGTCCTGGCCCAGGCCACCCCGAGACCGATGCAGGAATCAGTAACGCCGCAATCCAGTATTTCAGCGGAAAGATTCCGATTTTTGGTGTGTGCATGGGCCAGCAATGTATGATCACCTCATTTGGTGGTAAGGTGGACGTGACCGGCGAAATTCTACACGGAAAGACATCGGAGTTGAAGCATGACTCCAAGGGTGTTTACCAGGGATTGCCAGCCTCACTTGAGGTGACTCGGTACCATTCGCTCGCCGGAACACACTCAACTATTCCAGATTGCTTGGAAGTGACTTCGCGGGTCGAGCTGGGGGACGGTAGTGGCAAGAATGTCATTATGGGTGTGAGACACAAGGAGTTCGCAGTCGAGGGTGTCCAGTTCCACCCTGAGAGTATTCTGACACAATACGGCCGCAAGATGTTCAGAAACTTCTTGGAACTCACGGCTGGGACCTGGGATAACAAGCAGGGAGCAGCCGCCGCCGCCGCACCAGTAGAAAAGAAGCTATCCATTTTGGACAAGATCTACGCTCATCGCAAAAATGCTGTTGAGGAGCAGAAGAAAATTCCGGCTCTGCGGCCAGAGGCTCTTCAAGCCGCATATGATCTGAACATTGCGCCTCCTCAACTGTCACTCCCCGAGCGCCTGAGACAGTCGGACTATCCTCTCTCACTCATGGCAGAGATTAAGCGTGCATCGCCCTCCAAAGGCATCATCTCGGCTGATGTGTGTGCCCCTGCTCAGGCACGGGAGTACGCCAAGGCTGGTGCTAGCGTCATTTCTGTCCTCACAGAGCCGGAGTGGTTCAAGGGCACCATAGATGACCTGCGGGCTGTTCGCCAGAGCCTGGAGGGGCTCACCAACCGACCAGCTGTGCTCCGAAAGGAGTTCATCTTTGACGAATATCAGATCCTGGAGGCACGTTTGGCTGGAGCTGATACAGTGCTGCTGATTGTGAAGATGCTGGACCTTGAGCTGTTGACTAGACTGTACCATTACTCGCGTAGTCTTGGCATGGAGCCTCTGGTCGAAGTCAATACCCCTGAAGAGATGAAGGTTGCAGTTGATATGGGTTCTAAAGTCATCGGTGTCAACAACCGAGACCTAACGAGCTTCGAGGTCGATCTCGGAACTACCAGTCGCCTAATGGATCAAGTGCCTGAGAGCACAATCGTGTGTGCCCTAAGTGGAATCTCGGGGCCCCAGGATGTGGAATCTTATAAGAAAGACGGTGTTAAGGCCATTCTTGTTGGAGAGGCTCTTATGAGGGCACCTGATACCTCTGCCTTCGTGGCGGAGCTTCTCGGCGGTTCTAATCGAGCCCTTGCTGATGCGTCATCAAGTTCTCCATTGGTGAAGATCTGTGGAACTCGGACCGAAGAGGGAGCTCTAGCTGCTATTCAAGCTGGCGCAGATTTGATTGGCATCATCTTGGTTCAGGGTCGCTCAAGACTTGTCCCAGATGATGTGGCCCTCCGCATTTCCCAGGTGATTAAGTCGACCCCTCGTCCAGCCAGTACATCACAGCAGTCGCCAAGCACTACAACCTTGGAATGGTTCGACCATTCTACTAATATCTTGCGTCACCCTTCCCGTGCTTTGCTCGTGGGCGTGTTCATGAACCAACCGTTATCATATGTCCTTTCTCAACAACAAAAGTTGGGTCTCGATGTTGTGCAACTGCATGGATCTGAGCCATTGGAGTGGTCTAGTTTGATTCCAGTCCCTGTCATTCGCAAGTTTGCCCCTGGTGAAATCGGCATTGGTCGCAGAGCATACCACACTCTTCCATTGCTTGACTCTGGTGCCGGAGGCTCTGGCGAGCTTCTGGAAGAGAGCGGTGTTAAAAAGGTCCTCGATAGTGACGAAGGGTTAAGAGTAATCCTCGCTGGAGGATTAAACCCGGACAACGTGGTTGACACGGTGAAAAAACTGGGCCAGTCGGGCCAGAAAGTGGTCGCATTGGATGTCAGTTCAGGTGTAGAGACAAACGGTGCTCAAGATCTGGAGAAAATTCGAGCCTTTGTCAAGGCTGCCAAAAGCATTCGGCAATGAACAGGCTAAGCATATGCATTTACACTACCCAGGATGACTTCGTTTCTCATTCCATTTCGGGGTCATTTATTCGATAATCATGATAATCATGAACAATATTCATAGCAATCATAACTATTTCGAGGTTTACTTCTACATTCACCTTGCCCTGACTTGTTTGGTAAATGATCTATATACCAGCAGGAGTCATTTGTGATCCTTTCTTGAAGTAAATCTCAACCTTGTCTTGGCTTCGAAATCGCATTCTGCTTTCTCGTCACTTCCATCCTCCATAAATCATCATTATCGGTGCATTCCATATCAACGTCACAAAAGCGGACTAAACTGACATCTATGTGCAGTATATCACAGTATTTCCTCGAAGTGTTGTCCCCTGGCCATAAACATATTCATTTCTGAGGTTCCTCGCTTTCTGAAGAAGATCTCAGTCGAGAGCAGAGGTCAAACAAGCCTCGGCATCATCGAACTACGTATTCCTCTCATTCAGTATCCCAAAGTTTTGCCTTCCAGCAATTTACTCGCTTCATTTCTGAAAATTTCATCTCTGAAGCTATTCTTGGAGGCATTTCCGCTGCCAGTGAAAACACAACGCAACACCAGACCTATCTAACCAACTCTCAGACAGCAGACAGCATTGTGAACCCAAAATGGGCAAGCCGTTCCAAAGAGTTCATGCCTCTATAGTAGGCAAGTTTGAAGACGGTTACGGCGAAAAGATCCCACAGTGGATTCGGGCGAATGGAGGACAGTTCTCGAGAGATGTGGATCAGCGAGTGACCCATCTCATTGCCACAAAGGATGCGTTTAAAAACAATGCAGTTCCAGGTATATTACCCTTGAATTTTTCAAAGACCTTGATAATAATCAACAACACACAGTGCAAAATGCCAAGAAGATCGGCACCATCAAGATCGTCTCATACGATTGGCTTGAAGACTCGCTGCTATCACCAACCCGCCGACCAAAGCTCGAGGGGCCATATCTGCTGAAGAATCTGATGAAGCCTGAGAAGAAGGAAGTCCAGAAGAAGGTCACAAAGTCCTCAAAGGTGGTCAAGGAGACCAAGGCAAAAACTCCAAAACGTCGGATAGGTATCATTTTCCGAAGCTCCATTGCATTGCTACAAAGTACACGATACTGACATTTTCTCTATAGTTGATCCTTTCGTCGGTCTAAAGGGTAAAAAAAAGCGTAAGCATGATCCTCATATCAGATGGCATATCCAGGTCTAACATTGACCGATCACAGCCGTGCGCCAAGTGTACCAGGACAGAAAGACAAACGTGGTTTACAGCATCACCTTGTTCCGTCCATCAAAACCACCAGCTACCAGCAGAGAAAAATACCAATTGACTGTAAGTGGTGTTGTGAGATTTTGGGAAGTTTTTCAAGAAAAAGAAGATATTGATATTACCTAGCTCTTCGAATCCATCGCCGAGCCACATACCTACTCGACCTATGCCAAATTCAGCCGCGTTGGCACATCCAATGTCGAACTTCTGACTGGACCAAAGGTTAAGCTCGAGCTTGCAGTGGACAAATTCAAGCAGTTCTTTAAACAACACACTGGAAAGGAATGGGATGAAAGGGCAAGCGGAAAGATGCCACCCACCAAGACAGACTCCGACGGAAACATCTTGCCTGTTCACGAGGGATGGTTTTATCTCGAGGAAAAGACGACTATCCTTGGTGCATTTCTCAGGGAACCCCAGAGCACAGGTTTTCAAGGATCGACTGACCGGGCTGCAAGCGATAAAATCAAAGAGGACGGTATTGAAGATAAAATGGCAGATCATCAAGTTGAAGATGGGGGTGAAGGCTGATCTGAAGCTGATGATGAGGATGAGGATGACGAAATGGATAAGTAGGTACCTATGGATTACGGGAATCCCTCCAGGTGGCTAACACCTGCACCCGTGAGTGGATTCCCCGGTGGATGTGGATGGGTCACCTCCAACGCAGATTTAATGCCGAATGTAAGTCGATGATTTCAGGATAACACATACAGTAGACATGTATGCGCTTTTTTTATGCTATTAGAAACGGTTCCCAATGTAGGAAAGCTATAGCGGCATTGTATGAGAGAGCGAGGAAATAAATGAAACAAGCATTCCAGTATACTTTAACTAAGAGGCATGTTTTTGATGTACAGAAAAAAAAAGCAAAATACATACAACAGCATGTGTATGACCGTGGTCACCTAGCGCCCATGGTTCAGGCATGGGCGACTCGCCGCTATTCAGGGTACCCAGGGCGGATATTCACCCGCCTGAATATTCTTCACCCACGTATTCAGCCTGTACAACAAAAGGTACATTTTTCATCATGGGTAAGAAAGGTACAAGCAAACCTTCTTTCCCCCTCTATTTTTCATCACTCACTTCAACCTCGCTTTATCATGAGCAAGATACGTACCAGATATGGCCCAACGTGAGACAGTATAGGAATTCCAAAAGTGGATAGATGCACAAGGGACCAGTATAGTCGAAGGGAATAGATGCTTATATATAGGTGTACGAGGTTGTGACATCTTTTTAGAGGGGCCATCGTGCGAAAAGACTATGTGGACTCTCGTGCACCACAACCGAGAAAATATATAGTTGGTCAAAGAAGTTAGAAACCACAGTCCTTATAGGGGTTGCCTCTCCTAAGGCTGATTTGAAGCCCCGCTACGCAGTGGCGATGATAAAAAAAGCACTAGGAAACTATTATAAATGCCGATCCATCTTAAATGGCTATTTCTTCCTTGCGCTCTGCTCTTCTTGGGTTTGTTTCCCTAGCTAGTGGGAAACGTCTTGAACGAAAAGAAAAAATCAATCTAGCTAGGAAGCGGTTTTCATATCAAAGAACTTAGGGCCTATCTATGAGGGTTCCTTAGCAAGCTGATAGCTATCTCTAGTAATCTAAGCATGAAAAGGGTTGGCTAGCAGAGTAGCGTCAATGGAGCTATTATACTTTTCGTTTTCGCCGGAGAGAAGCAATTGTAGGGACCTGGGCAACAAATACGTGAATGGGCTGAAAATAATTCATGAATTAAAAAAAGTGAATAATGATTTCAGCTACCAATCATGCTACTCACCCGCTAACCCGCCAGATTCGTACAGGAGATGGTTCACGATGTGGATACTGCATATCTTCGAAATCTAGCATTATAGACATTGCACCGTCGGAGTTAATCAGTCTTTCCCAGGGGTGAAGGCGATCAGGAAAATCAACTTGTTTAAGATCAACAACCATCACTCTGTATCCTTGGCTACCCTGATCGCAGAGTAGAAAATTGTCCAATCTCTGATCTCGGTACAAAGCACCATATTCTGAAAACTGACGAAAGACATCCTCGAGATAAGTCTTCAAAGTTTCCCTAGAAAAGTCGCTTTTACTACGGGCCAGTTCATAGAGAGTAACACCATCAATCTCGGACAATACAAGTGCTGGGAGTCCATCATAATAGCCTTCCCCGAAAAAGAAGGGAATCACTTTTCCTTGGAGCGCTTTCAATTTGTCGTAAACTGCTTTCTCATTGCGAAATTCTTGCTCCCAATTATTCTTTTGCTGTTTGACAATGATTGATGTAACAGTGCGGGGAATCGAGTGCCGATATGAGCCCGGGTCAAGTGCGAAGCGATAAACTGTACGGCGTTCATCTAAAAGCTCCACATTGGTTGAATAAATTGGATGATTATCCAAGTAGATTATCTGAGGAGATGAGCTTGATCAACTCTTCTCTTAAATTATAGCACTCACTTTACCTACCTGGGATAAATTCTGGTTTCGGACAAGGGAAGGCATGGTGTGGACTTGCATAGGAGTATTGAGAGATGTTCACGGAGAACATTGGGAAATAACGCGATATTTATCAACCCTCCACGTGATGTGATCAACAAACAGATGCAAGGGGAGGTAAAAAAACATTAATTAGTTAAGTAGTTAATGACATCGCTTAGTTACCTGGTAAGGTAGGTATGCCCTTGATTAGAGAAGTTTTCTAATGAGATTTTCAGGTAGTTGTAGGCACTTGTGAAAGATATTGAGAAACAGTTCGCAAAGAAAATACCTTCCAACGGTTGGTATGGTTCTTGTTTATAGGCGTAATAAAATACAAATTTACACTGTCTACGTACAAAGTACAATACAAATATGCGTGATGTGATCGCAGTTCTGCCTGTACAGCTGTACAGGAAGGCATATATCAGTGGGTAATGCGGTATCAGAGGGCGAACAGACCAACGCCAGATTTATAGATAGAAGTGCGACCTAATATGGATTTCCCACAGAATATTACGAATCACTGAGAGCTTACTCGGTACAGCCCACGCCATCCGGTGATGTTCCACTTCCAAGTTGATTGTTGCATTCTTGATTTTCAAGTTGTAATTTCTGGTATATAATATCGTAGGAAGTGTATGTATATTGAACAATGTACCATTGTAGATTGCACATTGTTGTTCTCTACTCTGACCGCTCCTTTCTAGTACCAGTGGGCACTGTCCATCCATTCAGGATACCACAGCCGGCGTTGAGATACGCCGCATATCCGAGCCACACGGCGTAGGGAGTAAGACACCAGAAAGCGGTCCGATCGGCCGTCCACCAGTTGACCATCAGGGCACCCACGTTGCCCACTAATAGGGCCAGATCTCCCAGGGCCGCGGCCGGTCGGCCCAGTCCGAAGAAGAGGGGCATCCAGAGGAAATTCAAGGCCAGTTGCGTGGTGTAGAGGGTCTGGCCAGTGGAATTGGCATCACGGACAGCCAGAGAAAAAGATCGCGACGCGGTGGTGGCGGCGTGGTGAGAGGCGTAACCCATCAATCCATAAAGGAGAGTCCAGGCCGGTGCGAAGAGCCATCCTGGAGGGCTGTAGGGCGGTTGCTTCAATTGCTTGTAGGTTTCACGATTTTGCTTTCCTGTAGAGTTGTCAGTGATTGTCTGTAGTAATCGTCACCGGTCGACTTACGATTGGTCAAGAGGGCCACTGCGGTTCCTGCGGTGATTGGGGTCGCAACCGCCAGATAGGGGTTGGCGAGGAGAACATGAGGCAGAGCGAAAGACCAAGGCATTTTGGCGAATGGGATGAAATAAAATGATATCAAATAATATCAAATAATATATTCCTCGACTCTAGAAATCTCTGAAGAATGAAATGCGAAGCAATCGGCAATCGAGAGATATGGAAGTTTTTGCCCCTACGTCATTTCCCTGCCTTGGCACAGCCATAAGCCACCGGGCAGACCTCCCCCGGGATTCAATAATAGTCGCCATTCGTCAGCTGCTTCATTTCTTTTTGCTTTTTTATATATTCAATGGGAAAGAGCTCAATGGCGAAATCGAGGTAAGGTGGAACCGATGTGATGTATGAGAAGAAGATAATCCCAGGGTTTCAAAAGTTGGATGACAGTTGAAGATCGACGTGTCTGTGCAACAGGACAGTTTCGCCGAGTTCAAGCCGATATAATGCTCATCCCTGCACGGCGAGTATCAAGGCCCTGATCATTATTGCATGGAAGAGGAAATGAAGGACTTCATTTTTTGCATATTGGCATTTGGTCAAACCAACATATAAACCAACAGTACCCTACCATATAAAATGTCGGTGGACATACAGCAATCGCAGTTGATCAGTTTAATGTTGACACATTTTCTGTGGGCTTCATTATTTGCTCATCGTTATCCACCACAGTTCCCCTGCGATTGTTGTGTCTCCATGGCTGGGGAACGAATCAAAAGGCAAGCCACTAGCACTGCTGATTGGGGAATCAAAGCACTCATTTCCTTTTATACATTACAGTCGCAACTGAGTATGGAAATCTTCTACCTTGGCGCAACAAAAACTCTAATAAAAGCAGATGGACTGATATATGAACTTCAACGGGATAATACCGCAACCTTCTATTTCCTCGAAGGCGACATCGATTCAGATCCCGGCCCTAGTATCGCCGGTTACTATGAAGGACCATACTACAGCTACTACCGATTTTCACGCACCTTTCCGCTCGAGGACAGTGACGATTCAGACATGCTAGAGGCGCATGAACATCTCAATGAAACTATTGCCTTAGAAGGTCCGTTCGATAGCGTTCTAGGCTTCTCCCATAGTGGGACTTAGCCGCTGGGTTCATGATCCACTATACTAAGATTCACCCGAATGAACCGGCCCTGTTCAGATATGCTATCTTTACCAATTCTCTCTTACCTTTCCGTATGGGCCCTGGTGGGCTCCCTATTGTAGAAGAGGGGTCGGAAGGTACATCTCCATCCCTAGTATGTATATTTCTGGAGCAGAAGATCCACTCTTTGACTGTTCTTTGGCCTTGCATCGAATCTGCGCGGCACGTCATTCCACATTTGCGGTACACGGAAAGGGCCATAATATCCCTAGTGATCGAAATAACATCGGCATCATCGCTACGGCGGTTCACAAGTTGCTCTGTCATATCTAGTGAAACTAATCAAAAAGGGCAAGACATTTTAGTTATGAGACAGGGGATTCAAAAAGTTCTTTGAAAAGGAAGTTTATTTGACAAGGGATGTAGTATGTACTATGGGCGCGGTTGTACTTTCTTCTTCCACAGTAATCTACGGCCGCAAAAAGTGAAGTGCCCCTCCGACCAAATGCAAGCTTCCCGTCACGAAGACTTCCATTCCACCTCGCTGGGCACCTAGTCGCTTTGCAGACCTAATAGCCGCTTCAATAGTTGGTTTGGTTGAAACTGCAGCTATGGGATCAAACTCTTGCCAAAGTGAAGAATAGATAGCGCAGAAGTCAGGAAATGGCGTTTGAGGCACTTTCAGGGTTTTGTCTGGAAGAGAAACAATTAGGGAAAGCATATCCTTTAGAATAACCATTTTTATTACTCACCTATTCGTGTAGTCCCATCCTCTCTTTCTTGATATGTAGTAAAGATGACATGGTCTGGTTTTGCATTATGTTCTGAAAGGGAATGGGCTAGACATTGCACCAGGGCCACTCCGTCGCGCTCCTCTGAAAAGTGGCTAAAGATAAGAACACGATATCTGCGTAATATGATGAATGTAACGTTAGCTGGCTGGTTCTGTATTCAAGACAATATAACATACTTTGATGTATCTGAGGAGTTTGAGTTCTTGGCAAACCACTCCGCCGCTTGTGTGAGGCTCAATGTGTTGTGAGCCCCATCCAAGAACCACTGTGATGTTCCATCTACAATAACTTCAAATCTTCCACTCCATGAGAAATTTTCGATACCACTCGAGATATCATCGGAAGTCATGATCTGATTAGGTACCTGAATGCGTAAAAAGGACCTAGCAAGCTCAAGGGCTAGTGAGCAGTTTAATCGCTGAACTGGGACACTTAGGACCCTGTTGTTGATAGGGAGGGAGCCATTGATCGGAATAAACGTTAAATTCGTCTCTTTTTCTGCGGCACGGTCGTATAGGATCTTAACAGTACCAAATGACTGTGGTACAGAGAATGTAGGTACCGTAGGTTTGAAAATTCCAGCTTTATGCCACGCAATATCTTCAATTGTGGGCCCAAGCTGCTCAATGTGGTCTATCCCGAGAGATGTGATCCCCGTCACAATAGGCTTCCGCATCACATTCGTAGCATCATATTCTCCGCCATGGTGTGTCTCGAAAATTGCTGCGTCGACACCTTCCCTAATGAAAGTATGAAAAGCCAATAAAGTCAGAAGCTGGAGATAACGGGGCTGTCTTTTAAGCTCTGCGTGGGAAAGGCGTTCCCAAACTTCGAAGAAGTATTGCGTGAAAATATCTTCCGTTATTGGTTGGTTATTGATCTGTATTCTCTCCCTGATACATTGTAAATCGGGGGAGGTATATAGCCCGATCTGCTTCGGGAATCCCGTTCGCAAACCGTGCGAACGAAGAAAATAGCTAGTGAAAGCGCAGGTACTACCTTTGCCTTTTGTCCCAGCGATATGAATTATGTTCAGCCCGTCGATATCAACGTCCTAGATCTGGTAAGAAAAACAGGCCATAGCAGCTGAGGGCACAGGTGATCCATACTGAGTGTCCTAAAGCGCACAACCACTCATCCATACCGACCAAACTGGGAACACCTCTCGTTGTTTGTTTCCCGCTAGGGGTTGCTGCACCCTGTGACGCTGGGATCTGTGCCGGAGCGTTTGGTCGAGCTTTTCGGCGTTGCGCCTCAAGTAGTTTGAGGGCATTCTAAGTTGTTAGATCAGATTTGTGATTGTAAATGGGTTCGAAAGACTACCTGATAGTTATGCTGCATGTCGTAAGCCATGTAAAGACACGCCGGTATGAGATAAAAGACGTTTCGCAAGAGAGGGGATTTTCCAGGCCAGTTGTCAGATTTGGCGTACTCTTAGTGCCAATCATGTGATATGATTATACCCAATAACTTCTCTTGCTCAATCTCTCGCGTGGTTTTGGTCAAAACATGTTGTTTTGTAACTAATATCTTTGATATTCCATTTGTAACTACACTGTTGCAAGGATTGATCAATACATTCACGCAAATCTAAGTGTTCATAAAAGAGAATTGTGCAAACATGTCGCTATCTGCTCCCTAACTCACATTGACATGTTTCAAACTGTCAATTATGAAGTCATGCCATTTTGAATTGAACAGCGGGATCCAGAATACCCGAGGTTCTGATGACATATCTGTCCTCGCCTCTTGAAGTATATCTGTACATTCCATTGTATGACCGGTCATCAACAGAGCATGTGCTATTGAGCAGCGCACAATACTCGCATTGAACCCTCTATTAAGCTTGAGACGACCCAGTACTGCTAATGCGTCTCTCCACCGTGATATAGCCTTCTCCCATTGAGATTGCTCATGTGAAATCCTTGCCAGAGAGACCCAGATTCGGAAAATGTTAACTTGAGCTTTGTAGTCCGGCATGCCGGAGGACAAGACTACACGGTGGATGTCAAGTAGAAGTGGCTCTGCTTCGCTGTACATTTTGCGCTGAAGGTAGGTCTCTGCAAGTGACATCTGTAGTCTTCTCCCCGTGGCAATGTCTTGTATTCCATTCTCTCTCATTGCGGTCAATTCTTGCAACAGAAGATTTTCGGAAACAACAGGCTGACCGATTTCGCAATAAAGGTCTGCCACCCCGGAGAGGAGAACTCGATACCAGTCTGTGCCCTCAAAGTATTCATCAAACAGACTGTCTCGGAGAACGCCCTCGAGTAGTCTAAGTGCCTCTTTAAACAAACCCTGGTAGCGGAGCACCTTTCCCAAAGTGATATCACGCGCTCTTGAGACAATCCTCTCAAGGGTAGAGTACTCCGTACCCAACGACTTCCACTCGACCAATTCGTCTTTCGCTCCAGTAAGCTTCCCTTCACGAATCAAATTCTCGGCGAAAGAAATGATGAGATCTCCTCTCTGTGCATTGAATCTTGCAGTCAAATCTGAATCTTCCCGGCCATACGTTGCGCCTTGGCGCAAAAATCTCTCCAAAATATGCTCGGACTCCTTCGACATTCCGGACATTCTTGTTAATGAACTTTCCCGGTATACGAGCCAGGCATTTAGAAAAGGGTCATCGTTATCTTCCAGTAACTTCCTGGTACGACTGAGTGCTTCAAGCTTCCACTCCGCGTGCGAGAACCGCGATGCGGCGAGAAGGGTTGAGGCAAGCTCATGTTGAAAGGAGGGAAACTCGCTTCCACGATCGACACATAAAGCGTCATATTCAGAAAGAACGCGATGTAAGTGAGGTAGAAGGATTCTCCCAAATTTTACACTCCTGCGGATCATCATCAGACTCTGAACTCCGTTGGGGTCAATTTTCAAAACTCACAGTGGGTCAATGTATGCATTCCTTGGAAAGGCATGACAAATGAGTAAAATTGCTTGCCATCGCCATCTGTTAATTTCTGATGGGGACAGGCGCTGCGTCGCACAATATTGTACCAAAGGGTGGATAGAGAATTCTCTCAAACCATTCATTTCCTTGTTACAGGATATAAGTGAAAAAGAAAGCAATTTCTCCACAGCTGTATCAAATTCAAGATCACCTTGTATGATTTTTGTCAAATATTCGTCGACGCCTTCATCCTGCGCACGAACTTCTGTTACTTCGCCGTTTTCCCCCCATCTCTTTTGCGGAGATGAGCCTCTATGGAGAACCATCTCAGGAATTGATGACGGATCAAGAAACGAGAAAAGAAGGAGAAGAGAAGATGCGGCGGGTGACTCTTGTTCTACCTGCTTGAAATTGATTTCCCACGCTGTCAGAACTGCTCTATCAGCGAATCCAAGTCGTGGTGAAAAGCGCAATAAGTCATTCCGACGAGTAAGATATAAATCTTGATATTCTCTCAGGCTTCTACGCCTTGAGCGCACGAACGCCCCTGCTTGCACCAAAGCAAGTGGAAGAGATCCAAGAAGGTCCACAATCTTTTTTGCCTCTTCCTTATCACGATAGGTAGGGTGTTCGATCCCAGAACTCTCGAGAAGTAAAATGGTTGCATCTTCGCTTGCCAACGAGCTCAACACGTGCCCCTCCTCGGCTATGCTGCCAATCACCGCTTGATCGCAACTGGTGATCAAGACATGTCCCCAGTTGACAGAGGGCAAATACTTGTGAATTTGCACTGAATTCAAATCGTCAGCATTGTCGAAAACAAGGATCCACCGGCGGTTTTCAGGCTTAGACAGCCAGCTTTTAACTGAATTAATCTTATTCTTTGATTCTCCGAGATTGAGAATGTCATGTAGGCGATCAAAATCGGCTCCAAGTGAGACGCTCGATGTTGCGTTCAGGAAAACCACGCCTGTGCTGTACGTCGACATATTTTGCAAAATGTAGTGCAAAGCTGTCTGGGTCGTTCCCGAGCCGCCTGAACTAAACTTAATAAATGGCCAAGTACTCGTTCCAAGAATAACTCACGCAGGCCACATAAGCCAAAAATGCGTCTTGTTGAACCTTCGTTCTGATTCTTATGGAAATAGTCCTTCATCATGTTCAAGATACCATCTCTACCCCGAAAATACAAACATGGCAGTATTGAAACATCGAATGGAATGGAAAAAACTGTTAAATGTTAGCGAATTTAAATCGCTACGCATCAAGGTGATTTTCTCATATTTATCATACCCGACTCGGGGTCTGATTGCGTCTGCGTCTGCGTCTGCCCCTGCTCGGTGAAGCCAAGCTGCAATTTATCAGCCAGTTGTTTTAATCTGGACATCACAGGGCGAAAAGAGCGATCTTGGTGGGATCGGAACCTGACAATATTGCGGTGGTCGGCAAATTGCGGAATAGTGATTTCATCAGGGATATTCAAAACAGCAGACTGTTGTTCGACAATCTTTAAGGATGGTCAATATGATGGATGCAACGCGTACTCAGATTAAGAGCGTTGTTACCAGCTTTTTCAAGAATGGACCAATGGATGTGAATTCCAGTTCATAAAAGGAAACAATATGCACTTGCTTCCTCCTCTTAATGAAATCCTGGGTAATTTCCAGTAGGACCTCGGAGTCTTTCTGCAGTGTCCCTATCAAGGTACGTGGGGGTCTCAACGGCGAACACGCGGAAAGGATGTTTGCCACAAGCTTTCCCATTCCTGCAAGACTACTGCCATTATGCGGAGTTCCTTGTATCAAGTTAATGGGAAATGTGGAATTTGGCTCCATCAAACTTACCAAGGAATAGCATCGCATAAACAGATTTCTGCACTTGTTCTTCCTCCTCAGAGCAACCTATCAACAATGCCTGTAATATAAGCAGACTTTCACCTCGATTTCTGGGAAACGAGTCACCTTTTTAGCCACAATCCCACCTAGACTGTGACAAAGAAAGACTATGGGACGGGATCTCTCCTTGTGGACAGATCAGTATCAGTATCAACTACCAATAAAAAGGGCTCTCACCTCTTGCGTAGACCTGAAGTCAACAAGCTCAGTAAGTAATTTGGAGCATATAGTGCGCATGTCTTGTTGGGCGGTAAAACTCTTGAAGCGAGCGTCATATCCGTATGTCATTATGCGGATGTTAGGCAGAGCTTCAGGTAGTAGGTCTTTGAGCCACATGATCCTTGTTTTTTTGTGTGTCCAGGTATCGATGGCGTCCCCGTTCAAGCCATGGATGGCAACCAAACTGCGACAGTCAACTGTGGTTCGTTCTCTTAATGCAGGATTGGTTAATTAGTGGCATCGATAGAATACAAACTTACTCAAACAGAAAGCCATCTTGAGAAGAGCTCTTCCCCCCCATATACCCTTTGAGTGTGGGAGGGTGAAGAACTGTGATCCCTCGTCTATCTTCGGTCATTTTGAGCTTGTGTAGGTTAACCCTTGAGTGGACTCCGATTTAGGGAGTCCATGGAAATCTCCAGCAATAAGAATAGATCCGTGATGCACACAAAAGGGGGAGACACGTGTCAACCCTAAAGGATTCGCTTTCGGAGGGTGAGGGTAGATAGTGATAGGGTGATGAAGTCACACTAGTGCAGCCCACGACACAAATTTCGGGGCAATGCAGGAAAAGCGGAGGTGTGCATCATACTATTCACCCTACAGAATTACCCTGCCATGCCAGCCCGGATGAGAAAGGACGCTACTGCATGCACGCCACGAGTAATAAATATTGTATTCTTTCAAATGCATACATCGAATTAAATACAATCTGCATACTAACAATCGATTAGTAATAATCACTAGTATTGGTATTACTAGCAAAAAAAAGCAAGTTCGTACATACATATGCATTAGCGTCTCTTCTCGGGCCGGGCTGGTATGGCAGTGTACAGAGTAGACAAGGCTCTGATAGTGCTACGCATGCTACTAGGTAAGCTATGATCCAGCCAGCGCTTACAAGGGGTTTCTTATTGGTGTATCAGTACGCTTACATTACCTTGGAATGGGAATTGGGAAATTTTTAATCGCGGAATTAAATATCTCGATGTACGTAAGTTTTATAACCGAGGTAGGTTCCAACCAAGCATCGCAGTATTCGTGGTGTAAACTATTAAGATTGGCAAATTAGAGGGGAGATCGCAGAGCGTTTGTACTGTACAACAACCCAGACAGATAGATCGATCCATCATGAAAGCGAAGTAGAGCTGTTAGAGCCCGAAAGAAAGATGGCAGTAAATGCGATTTTATATCTCAACAACCCATTGTTGTTTGACTTCATTGTCGCTCGATAGTTGTTGATAAGGCTTCTAAACACTATATATCAATTTCAAGGAAATTGGAGAGCTACAATATCGTGGTATTTACCTAAGGTAATTTGGATATGGCCCTCATAAGCTGGAGTTGCATTTATTAATTTTCCTTCGGGCCAGGGTCAATTATAACACTCTACTTGGACACTGCGGTTGGGCTGGCCCAATTCCCAGTGTCTTTCCATCAGCACGGCAGGGTCTTGGGAAGGAATAACCAGGAAATCCGTCTTCATGATCTTAAGGTTTATAAATTTCCTTTTTATCCACAATCTGACACTTGTTACATAGGTACATATGCATTCCGAATCACTATACTCCGTACGGAGTACACTACTGCACATTGTATTAATCCCCACCTCACTAGTCAATTTTTTATGAGTCAAGCGTAATCTGCTCCTAGTCGAGGCCTGGAGCCGATGCCCAGCGATCGGGATTAGTAATCTTTAATCAGCTGCCCCCATGTGCAGGTGAGCAGTTAACTAGTTGGTTATCTCGACTCGTCGACTCACTCGAAAACTAACCCCTGTGTAATCCATCTCGCGTGGCAGGTGACATCTGATGTCTTGATATCTTGAAACCTCTCTGGTCATTGTCTTCTTGAGTCTCCCTTATAATAATCGCTTACTGCTGAAATGAAGCGTACTTACGAGGTAATGTTTTGAATAAACAAGGCGTTCGATCTGACAAAATTTACAGTGCGCCCTCAGGCTTATTGAGACGCGAAGACGGAAAGGCCGACCAAAATATTCAGCAATACCCCTCACTGACCAAGGCTCCGCCTCTATCCGCGGCAATTCGGCTGTGAAGGGCGTGCCTAGTCTGGTTGGAATGAAGGAATGGCTACAGGCACTGGGACATTCGGTATGGATATTTAATGATATATCACCTTGCTGTAGCGTGTTTTATCTTACTAGGACTAGGATAACGATATTGAAAATATGAATGTAATTCACGTCGCTGGAACAAAAGGAAAAGGTAGCACCTGTGCCTTTACCAGTTCCTTTCTTCTTGCGCATAGCTTGAGGACAGGGTTTCCAAAGCGCATTGGAATGTACACCTCTCCTGATTTGCAGTGTATTCGGGAGAGAATACAACTCGATAATCAACCAATAACGGAAAATCTCTTCACGCGATACTTTTTTGAGGTTTGGGAGACTATTATGTCTCGAGATCTGGAACAATCTACAGAGCCTATCAGACAACCACGCTACCTGCAATTACTGGCCTTGCTAGCTTTTCACACTTTTATCAGGGAAGGTGTCGACGCTGCAATATTTGAGACACACCATGGCGGAGAATACGACGCTACAAATGTGATCAGGAAGCCTGTCGTAACAGGGATCACCTCTCTTGGAATGGACCATATTGCACAGCTAGGCCCAATGATCGAGGATATTGCATGGCATAAAGCGGGTATCTTCAAACCCGAAGTACCTGCTTTCTCCGTACAACAAGAACCCGGCGCTTCCGAAGTTCTACGCGACCGTGCCACTGAAAAGAAGACCGACCTATCATTTGTTATGTCTTGCGATGATCTTCCTACTAATAGCAGAGTGTTAAGTGTTCCAGTGCAGCGGATAAACTGCTCTTTAGCGTTTCAGCTAGCTACAACTTTCCTCCGCCTCAAGAGTTCCTATGATATCAATGCTGAGGATATACAGAAAGGTATCGACAATTTTTCGTGGAATGGAAGATTTGAGATAATAGAAAAGGAGGACGCACAGTGGTTCTTAGACGGGGCGCACAATATATTGAGTCTAAAACAAGTAGCTGAATGGTTTTCAAGGAATGTTGATACTGCGAATACGGAAAAGTAAGTTGAGTTCTTGTAACTTGGCCTTGTTAACTAATATTATAGTGGACGATCTGGATATCGTGTTCTGATCTTCAGCCATTTTTCAGAGGAGCGCGATGGGGTGGCTCTTGTGCGATACCTAGCACGTGCTTTCTCAGATTGTAATTTGAGATTTGATCATGTTATCTTCACTACATATCAGGAAAGAGAAGACGGAACTACCAGAATTGGTAAATACCGAAGGCACATGTCATAGGTAGCACAGCTAATTGTATTCTTACCAGACAAAACACTCAAATCGCCGGAGACACCCTTCCCAGATCTCTGCACTCAATACTCAATACTCTGGAAAGATCTCCATCCTTACGCTACAATCTCAATCGAGCCAACTATCGAAGGGGCTATAAAGGCAGCGAAACAGCTGAGTGTCGATCAAGGCGGTATGCAAACGTTGGTTACGGGAAGCTTGCACATGGTTGGGGGAGCCCTTAAACTTTTACGGCCTTAAATTCATAGCGGGTTCTGATGCTCCGTTAAAGATGTGTTGCCATAATCTCTACTTTGAAACATAAGCCCTAGCCCATTGCCTTTGAGTTTGAGCTTCCCAAACCACATGTACTGGTCTCTTCTCAATTGACTCACATACTGGCAGGAATAAGCCTTTTGAAACATAGGTAGGTATAGCCTAGAGTAGGTTGTTTGAGGCATGGTATATCCCAAGCTCGGCAGCAAGGCAGGATTTCTGTTCTCCTAACACCACAGCGTCATCTCTATATTTTTAATGACTACTGCCGTAATTACCCGCCGAGTTGGAGAGGACAGCGAGGATGTTGAGTTAGAAACCTATGGGTTTTTACCGCAGTTCCTTTTTATCGCAGCTCCTTCCTACGAAGTGTGAATTTCTTGGCCGAGAACATGTTTATGCTCTCGACCAAATCATGGCAAATTTGAGTTTGCTGCTCTTGGATGCCACACTGGAAGAAAAACACAAAATCCAACTCAAACAAAAGTCGGTCTATAGTGAGAAACGGAGCCTTTATAATGAAGAGCTCCGGAAAGTCTAGGGACTATCAGGGAGGAAACATGGAAGTATTCACACTGGAACCATGTTCCACTTTAGGAGATTGGAAGGTAATACCTAGACTTCAGCAGAACCCATTTTGGGTCGCAGTCTCCGACCCAAAATGACTTGGCAGAATAGGTAAAAGTCTGTTTGACTAGTTTGCACTATATTGGGGCCCCAATGGGTTACCCATCGTTGGGTCGAAGCAATAAATGGACCCAATACCCATTTTGGGTTGAGTTGGGTTCGGGCTAGAGTGAGTTGTTCCGAAGTCTAGTAATACCTTATAGAGACTTCTTAGCTAGTACATTACCTTGTAAGCACGGCCTTAGAAGTTTGGATAGAAGAAAGATAGTATAGGTATTAGAGTCCCTCTATAGCGAGATGGATACAATTTTATTGTCACGGATAAACTATGTGCGCTACTACATGGATATATTGGTCCTGGGCATGTCCAACCAATCAGCGGATGCAAAAATGGAAGCAAAACACCGATTTGCAAACCTTGGAATATAGACGGAGTACAAGAAGCTCGGGCCAGCTCCATAGGCCGGTCTCACTCGACTAAAAACAAAATAATATTAGAGGGTTCGCCAGTTTATTAGGATAAGACAAAATAATAAATAACTGCTATATACCTACATAGTGGGGCCGGGATGATCGTGGCTTTTTAGGGCTAATCACATGCAGCGTGACCCGCATCCTCCCCACCCTATGATGTAAATCCATTAGTATCTACATATTTAGATTGCCAGCAGATCGAAACTGATCAAATCTAACATGGCGATATGGAGGGCCTTACCAAGCGCGATGAGAGTCGCGAATTAGCCCTGGAGGGCCTCCGCGATACCGCTTCCTATGGAAAACGTTTGGAAGGCATCCAGCTGGAGATATACAAGAGTTGTTTTGAACAATATACCGGTCATATATCATACTCACTTGAGCTGTACCAACGATATCTTGAGAATATATACCATAATTTAACCAGTGCAGTAGGCCTCAACATATACTAGGTATAGAACATTCTGGGTGGCCTTATAATTTCACTTGTTTTAACACATTTCACCTCCACGTTTCATACAATAAGGTCTGACTTGTCTGGGCATGACTACATCCAGAGATAATGGAAATACGGTATACGGGTGGTTTTATAGGCTACCGGCTTTTTTCCCTGCCTTAGCTCTTCGTCGATGGAAAGGCCTATCTAAATTGTAATCTTCCAGCTGAGACGGTTATTGCTCGACGTCTGCTATATTCGCTTTTCCAACTGGAATAGGAGAAATGATATTAAATAGCCGCCGAGAGGAAGCTATGTACTAAGAGCATAGAGCACGGTTACAAATATGTACTACCGATGTTCTTGTTTGTTGTATCTGTAAATATATCATTTGTCTCATCTATTCAGCAATATCGCGAGAGTTTCTAATAAGATAATTCCAAAATCTTGAGGATCGGATTGCGTGTTTTCATACAATAAATATAACATCATGAATTATAGAGCGGTAACCAATTCTGTCAGAAAATCCGGTCATGATCCCAAAAAAAGCTGCTGTACATGTCTTTAATATTTTTGACTAGACATTCTCCACTGCCATTTAAATCATAAACTATGTAACTTGAACATGACAAAAGAACCCATTCTAATTGCCCTCTAACGCCAGATACGCCAGTCGACCAATGTGGCGAGATGATGTTCTGCATTAACCATCCACGCCACAGCCAATGTAGTGATGCGAGTTTTTGAAGAATCACAAATATTCCTTCTTTTTGCTGGTTCTTGTGTATTGGGTAAGGGCCCATTCGATGTCGCCGCTCGAGCCCTTCTCCAATGTACCTCCGCGGATTTCGAAAAGTCGCATTGTCATGCGAGGTCCAACTTCGGCCAGCTCCACATCCCGGTACCCAGTCTTGACGAAAACATGGTGCCGCACTTCGATGTTGTCGTCCTTGTTCACAAAGCTCACAACACGGTTTCCGACCTTTCCCGTCTCGCGAGGAGGGAAAAGGTGCTTCAGAATCTGAACAACGCGGGCACCCAGTTTCGTCTTGAATCCCTCAAAAATCAAGTGCGGGTAGCTTTCCGACACAGTACCACGAGCGGCATTTGGAATATCCTGACGAAGGACGACATTGTGAAGAGAGAAGCTGGCAGTAGGGCCATGGGGAAGGTGTGAAATTGTGAGTGCGGTCGGGGTACCACGGTGCTCGTGGAGGAGAATCATGTCAGTCAGAGCGGCGGAGGTTGCGCTGGAGACGAGATCTCCAAGAACGAGAGTTCCACGGTTGAGGCGAATGGAGGTGGGAAGGAGAAGGCGGATTTCTTTCGCAAATGCGCCGAGGCGAGCGGAGGGTGAGCGAGAGGTGGTGACCAGAGGACGGGGATCGATAATGCCGGAGGTTAAAACGTATTCATCGTCGATGTCCATCTCAGCGTCTTCCTGAGTCTTTGATTCGTCATATTTGAAGTCTTCCCGAAGCGTTTTATCATTTGCGATTGTAGGATCTAGAGGCTTTCCAGAAGCCAATGAAGCCTTGAGTTGCGATCTTTTTTCGGCAATGGAGGCATCACGGAGTAGCAAAGCTCTCCGATAGAGATAATCGCGACGCTCGCGGGTTTGTCGGCGCTACTGATTGTAAGTAAAATTTCCAATGTGTCGAATTAATCCTTCACTTACCAGCATTTTGAAGATTGGTGTGAAAGTGTCTTTGGCAAAGAAGAGCGGGCAACTTTTTTTTTTCTTACTTAACTCCGGGGCTGCGTTTATGGTTCATATGCGTACCTGTAGTGGGATCGCACCGATAAAGAATCTGGGCAGTTGCGGAGACGCTTTTTGCTCACCTTTGAGACAAACTCATCGACTTTCTTTTGTCAGTCCTCTTAGACAGAGAGCTGGACTGGTTGTATGTGCTCATCTGTTCTCATCAAGCACTTACCACTAATACCACATCTCGATACAGATCTCCGTTCGTTTGCCCCTCAGGCACGCCCTGGAGATTTCAAACCTTGAACACTCCCATAGGACCACCGGATTGTCCTCTACGCTCTTTTTCCATCTACAACTGTGAATTTCATTTGGTTTCAACTACCTGTTGCTCTGCTTTTTGCTTTAAGTCTTGGTCAGCTTCAGGCATCCCTATCAGTATTCCAAATCGGTACCCATAATGAGCTACCAACCGGAAGACTCCTCAGCGGGAGTTGAAATTAACGAGATTGCACTTGGCCGCGCGCGTCCACGCCGACATGATGACGAAGATGAGGGCTCTGATACCTTTGAAGATGACGACATGGAAAGCATTGTCGGTGCACCCACAAATGGGAAACAAAAGTCCCAAGGAAATGGAGAGGAGGAAATAGAGCTCCCTGCTCATGCATGCGCGTTAGTTTTTATATCTCCTTTATAGATAGCCATTTACTGATTATATTATAGGTACTGTGGCATTCACAACCCGAGCAGCGTCGTCAAATGCCTTTCGTGCAATAAGTGGTTCTGCAGTGCACGTGGCAATACCTCTTCTTCCCATATCGTCAATCATCTTGTCCGAGCCCGTCATAAGGAAGTCCAGCTCCACCCAGGCTCTTCTTTAGGTGATACTATTCTGGAATGCTACAACTGTGGCACCAAGAATGTCTTTTTGCTTGGCTTCATCCCCGCTAAATCTGATACCGTTGTTGTTTTGCTTTGTCGCCAGCCATGCGCGTCTATGCCATCTTCCAAGGACATGAACTGGGACACTTCACGCTGGCAGCCTCTTATTGAAGATCGTTCTTTCCTCCCCTGGCTCGTGGGGGCACCCACTGACCAAGAACAACTCCGAGCCCGCCACCTCAGTCCTCAATTGATTGCGAAACTAGAGGAAATGTGGAAAGATAACTCTCAGGCAACCCTGGAAGACCTAGAGAAGGCCACAGCAGTGGATGATGAGCCTGCGCCAGTCCTACTTCGCTATGATGACGCTTTCCAATATCAGAATATTTTCGGACCGCTTGTTAAAATTGAGGCTGATTACGACCGCAAGCTGAAGGAATCTCAGTCTCAAGATGGGCTTATCGTGCGCTGGGATCTTGGTCTCAACAACAAGCACCTCGCAAGCTTTGTGCTGCCCAAGCTTGAGCTGGGAGATGTCAAATTGGCCGTGGGTGATGAGATGCGCATCAAGTACAATGGTGAATTGCGTCCCAAGTGGGAGGGTGTGGGATATGTCATCAAGATCCCGAACAATCAATCTGATGAGGTCACAATCGAACTGCGCGCCAAGGGCGACCACAAGTCAGTTCCCACCGAATGCACGCACAATTTTATGGCCGACTATGTTTGGAAATCGACTTCCTTCGACCGCATGCAATGTGCAATGAAGACATTTGCTGTGGATGAGCAAAGTGTCTCTGGTTACATCTTCCACCGCCTCCTTGGCCACGAAGTTGCTGCAGCGCCTATGAAGACCCA